AGGGCGGTTCATCAGGCTTCACCTTTGTTGATGCAAATGGGGACCCACCTGCCAGGCACAAAGAACTGCAAAATCGCATGCTGCCGATCAGGGAAACTGGAATGTTGACCTTGCCTATTCAAATTGAAAAGCGCGATAGCATGGAGTTGGATTGGGTTTGGCAAACTCCATTGGGGCATTGATTTCCAGACTAGTCCAGGACAAAAAGCTGCATTTCTTGTAGGGTGCATTCTGAACAAAGGGCGCCCGGGTAAAAGTGCGGTGGAGGCTTTGCCTTGGCAGTGTGTCATACGTGATGCCAGATGTTTGGGTTTCTTTTTTGTTTTGCTACAGCCCATGCCTCCAGTGACGCTTTTCCTATTTAATTGTTCCTGGGGGAGCCCTTTCAAATCAGCTACCAACAAGGGTTTTTGCTTTCTCCCGCGGAACTCCACTGGGCCCAGGCCTGAAACTGGCGAGGCCTGAGCTGCTTGTTCGCTGGCCCGGGCCTAATTCGGCGAGGACATCCGCCTTGGGAGAGTCGGATGGGCGGGAGGAAATCGATGGCAGCGGGTCCCAAGAGTGTTGGGTACAGCCCACTCTGAATGTTCCAAAAAGTTCCCGAAAGGAAGCCTAAACGGCATGGGTCAATTTGTCCAGGGCCATTTATTTAAACCTAGGTTGGCGTGGGTGTTGGGAGGAACGCAGGGTGGGGTGGGTGTTGGGAGGAACGCCTGGTCGAAAATGTTGGCGACTTCGCTTGGGTATCATTCACTGGCTTTACCCTTCTTGAAGCTTTCAGTTAGGCACTGTTTCATAGCTGGCTCATATCCCCGCTTCAGAAAAGCCTCGCGGGGGACATGGAATTGAAAAGCGCAAGCTTGCGCGGTCGTACATTGCGCTTTTGGCCTGGTGGGGCTTTTAAGAGGAAGGCCTGTGAGACGCCTGAAGTCGAGGAACAGTTCCAGAGTGACATCCATGCACTGGGTGCTCTCGCTGCTGGGATCCCCACTGCCACGATTTTCTCCATCTATTCTATAATGACTGGACTTTTGCTGCGCAATATGCGTGCAGGCTGTCATGAATGACCAGCCTGCCACGTGTTTGCAACTCGAAACTTGCTTGGAGGCCTCTTGTGCATTTCCTTGAAGGCCAGCAAGCATTTGACCATCGGCGTGAGCACATGTTAGCAAAACGTAGTTACACAGCTGCCGGTTGCATCAGTTGACACATTGCCAGGCATTGACAAGGTGGCCTTGCTTCAAGACCTCTTGCTTCTCTTACTCACAGCGCCCGATGTTGCGCTTCAAGCCTGAGCGTGGGCTTTCAACTGCGCCATGCCGGCGCATCTAATACACCGTTCTCTCGGACTTTCTGAAAGGGCGCAGGGCGAGCGCGGCGATTTGCATTTTGAGCGCAGCGTAGGTGCTCTTTCTGCTTGTGGCTCCTCCTGTGTGAATATGCCTCGGCAGTGGTGTTGAGTGGCATAACCACTTGTTGGTTTAGGCATTCTAGGTTCCCTTATGCACCTCATCCTTTGGGTCGTCTGTTCAGGCTGAACCTACACTCTCTAAACATGATGGTTTGCGGGTCCAGTTCTGTCTGGAGTGTAGCCTGTAGCTACCACTCAGTTCTTGGCACTGCTTGAGAGATGGTACTCAGCCTCGGTTCCTTGAATTTGGTTAATTCTTGTGCGGGGGAAGGCTTGATAAAGTAGAGTTGGAACCTGGGACTTCTGAACGAAGTGCAAGGCAACCTATGCAGCCTTGCCTGCTTGTAATTCTACCGGTGCTTCCGCAACAGGCAACCCCTAAACATATCCATTTGCATAGGGATCTCCGCTTGGAGGACCCCATTTCCAAGTGACTATGTGCTGGTCGGTTCTGCTTTGGTTTTACTGCGGCTCCCTGTGGCACACCGCATCTAGACCCTTACTTGCAGGGGGAGTCCGAATTCTTCCGCGAATCGGCTGAAGTGGGTGGCCTGAGCGGCGCATCTGCGCAACTCGGGCCCAGAAATATCGCTTTGCGGCGGTGGTGGCCAGCTGGGAAGGTCTTCTGGGAAGGCATGGGGCTTTGGTTTAGACATTCCAGGCCAAACTTGAATGAAGGAACGCCCTCTGTGAAGTTGTCCTCGCGGCCTTTGTTTTGAAGAGAGGGCTACGCTGCAAAGCGAACGACCAACAAATGGCGCCCTTTTGTTCCATGCAAATCCACTGGAGATAAAAAGTCGCAACACTGCAAACTCATCATATAAGACTTGAAGCGTCGTGGAAGGCCTTATTGATCCCTCACAGGCACGTATCTAAGTACCAAAAATGGCCCCTTTGAACTCTTCAAAAACGCTTGACACCTCCAAACAGTGCGATTAAGCAGGACCTGGGGCTCCCGTGTGCTTCTCTTTTTGTGTGACTGGTAAGGTTTGGGGCCACTTGCCAAAATGAATTTCCTAGATGTAAGTGATATGTTTTTGTTGTTTGCCCTGATTCCTGGTTTTCGGGAAAACACTATCCATGATTCAACGCCCTTAAGCCGTCCCAGGGTCTTGAATTTGGAAACACCGTTCTACACTAGAAGCTCTATTTATGAAAAATTCCCCGCCCCCCTAGGGCCCAGGGTCCTAAAATTGATTGGGGGGGTACGTCTGAAAATGTAATGTTGATTTCCCCCCTTCCCCAAAAAAAACACGAAACGATCAGACAAAAGCATGCCCTCCCCTTTCTTTGAGATGCGTGTGGTTCATGTACACAGGATGCTGGGGTAGGGATGGCCACAAATGTGGTTGGGGAGATGCTGGTGGGGCAGATGTGGTGCATGCGCAGAGTCTCTTGTAACTTGGTTATGTTTGAGCTACGTTTGCCAGACGCCCACATGTAATATTTCATTTGCCAGGTCTGCAGAACAAAATGTAACCGTGACATTTTTAGGTGGCAAAGCCGAGACAATACAAATCACATTTTCCCCCTTAAAAGGTGGGAATTGTAAAACGGTTCCAACATTACGTGCTCAGTGTTTGGAGCTGATGCTTGTCGACCACCCGGCATGAGCGCGCAGCTTGCGTGGACTCCCTGCACTGAAGGCGATATAAAGCGATGAAAACTATCCAGGCATCAGATAACTTGCGAATTGCAAGTTCCACCAGGAGTAGTTCCGCTAGGACGGTGGTTTGTATTCGTTACCTCTTCGAGTATGTCGTTCAGACTGAGTGCCGAAGTGGAGGGAGCCCAGTAATTCATCGCCCAGCGTCAACATCGAAAAAGATTGTTCTGGGCAGGTTTCAATCCGGTGGCCACTTTTCAAAGGCCCCGGTTGCGAAGGAGGGCAGCCTGGGCTTACCACTTCGCAGTTGCCCAGATGCGCCCCCTTTTTTTCCGTTTGTTTTTTTTGGAAGGGTTCTCCGTTAGACTCAACCAACCAAGCAGGATGCCCTTTTTTCCCATGGCCTCTGGGCATCTGAGAATTCCAGAATCGCTCCCAGTGCATCAATGAAAAGCTAGCAGGCCATGCTCGGACAGCCAGCTGCTCATCCAGGGCCGCGCGAGACAAGCGCCAAGCCTGCTAATTTGGCAAATCCCGGTGTTTTTAAGTCAACATCCCACCCCCGGTCATGGTGGAGAGTTTCAAGGTTTGAGGGGGGGGGGCTTTTTCCCGGAAAAAGTCACCCATGGAATCGAGTCTGCTTCGTTCACTCTGTGGGACCCTACCCCCTAAAAACAAAGTGGTGGGTATTACATCGGCGAACTACTAGAATGGGCTCCTGGACACAGTCCAACTTCCATGGGTGTAGCTTTAAATGACATGGAGGTACTGCGGATGCACAAATTCCACTTTGCACCAGTTGGGAGAGATGAAGGCCTTTGAACACTGCTTGTTCAATGTTGTTTAAACCACCCACCAACTGGTGCGCAGTGGATGCCCATCCGCAGTCCGGAAGAAGCCATCCACAAGGCTTTCCAAAGCCTCACGTTGCACAGTTGTGCAACTGGAGGATGGGCTTCCAGCAGGGAAACCGCTGCGTGCCCTGGTGTACGTGCCCCCAATAGATACATTTACAATACCCTACCGGACCCTACTATCTACATATGTATATACATATACATGCACAAATATATATATATATATATATGTGTGCGTTTGTGTGTGTCAGTCGGTGACTCACTTTGAAGGTCGGTGACTTTGGAATTGTAGGGGATGTCCAATCAGGGGCAGGTGGCAATTTTCCTCGAACCAGGGAATCCTTGGGCTCGGCAAGAGAAAACGCGGTCCCCGCGCTCCGCGCTCCGCGCTCCGCCCAATGCGACTCGGGCGTATGCCAGTATGCCATGTATTAAATTCGATCCAAGCAGTCGGTTCTGGAAGGTTGCTTGCCCATGTTGCGACCTCAAATTCCAGCAGGTCCTCAAGGTCCGATATCCTTGGGGGATTCCCTATGTCATCTGGAACACTGTAAAAGCTGCAGCATGTTGTTCCATTGGAGGGGGCAAATCCTGGAGTGCCTTTTTTTCAGCGCAGATCTCCTGCGCATGGCTGAAAGGCCTGCTATGAGGTCAATTCGTCAATTTGAGAAAAAGACGGCGCCCTGTTGAGCGGTGCGCATCTTGGACAAGAGGTCGGTATGCACCATTGTGGGCAAAATCCTGCAGTTGGCAAGCGGTACACCCCGTGTATAGGGCTGGGTCAAACTTCCCAACTGGCCATACCGAATAGTGCTGGACTTCATCGATGTTGAATGCTGCCCTGGAAGCAGAATGACTACGACCTTCATCTCAAGCCTTGAGCCAGGCATGTGTACACACTCTTTAGTCAGCGCTTAAGCTTTAGGGCTTACGCCATCTCATGCGCTCGCCACAGGAAACCAAGCTGCATCTTGCCAAATTGGCGATGTTCAATCCAAAAAGGGAGCCTCGGAAATTTGAAGTGAAGGGGCACAGCTTAGCACCAAATCACTGGGGGATGATGAAACTCTGAACACCTTCAATGCCCGAAACAGCGCGTTTTGCGCCACAGTCCTTTGCTTTGGAGGCAATCGACTTCTACCACCGTGCCCTGAGCCTCGAGCGAAACGACGCCTTCTGTGCTGAGATGCTCAACTACGCCGTTATGGAGGTGCTTCCTGGACTGGGGGGATGGATGGATTCCGATTTCAGAAATGATCCAGCGGCAAATGTGCCCGATTGTGCTTGCTCTTGGAATAGCATGCTAATTGTGAGATCATGTGATCTACTGTGTTCAGGCTTAATGACGAAAAGCGCACAAGTTGCAGATGTTGACCAAGGAATCCTCCACTTGGCCGATTAATGAGAGGGGTGCTTCCTCCAAAAGCGAAGGATACCTGGACCTCTTATTTGGGTTTCACCTCCTGACAAGAATCGATCCTGTTGGGTCATATGATGCTCCTTTTGGTGGCGTGATGTTCAAAAGGGACACAACGAACCCGGGATCAAATCTTGCCGGCAACGGAGTCTTGTTGCCGCTTCAAAATGTTCAACGAAATCATGTCTTTGGCCTCAGGTCGTTTGAGCGACGACATGCGTGACCTTTTTGTTGGTGACATATCTCCGAGCACAGCTTAAAAAAGGGGGTGTTCCCCACGTCCCGTTTTGGAGTGTTGCTTGTAGATTGCATACTCCAGACATCCCCGGTTCCTTGCACACGGAATGGGGGGGATTCCCAGAATTCCATCTGCTAGTGTTGCCCTTTGTGGGGACGACCAGACACGGAGTGTCAAATTCATCCGGCCTTTTGGGACAAAGTGAGTTTCCTTGTGGTGATGGGGGAAAAATCGGGAGCCCTGTCCCAGGCCCTGGACAACAACATGGACACCTTCACTTGACAGGCGCGACGTCGAGTTTTTTTTTGGGAGGCGGAGGTGGGGGTCGAATAAAAGCCTCGTTTTTGCTTGGGGCCAGGCACAGAGGCCCTTCCCCATGTTCTACGAAACAAGATGTGCCAATGGGCGATTGTGTCTTTGGAGCTTCTGGAGGACAGGAGGATGTTCTCCAAGGAGTGATCAATGTAATGCATCCCCGGCAGCCGATGCTTTCACGACGACGTGAGATGCAGATCTTGTGTCCAGGGTTGCCATCAGCTCCAGTTTTGGCGACTGGGCGCCAGTCAGTCTTGCCTCACGTGGGATCTAGAAATAGGAGTGCGGGCCCAACCAAATCCTCACTCCTCTCATTTGACACAAACTATCCCATTCCCTGCGAACAATCTCTTTACTTAGCCCGGTGGAATTGTGCTGATGCTGAGGGGTCCAAGGCAAATCCGCGGAGAATCCCAACTGCCTTTCGCTTGAACATGCAACAATGGCCAAGCAGAGTTCTCCCTGGGGTTTCCCCGGTCCGCACGAGGCCATTGCGGGTCGAGTCAGGATGCCTAGCGGCGCAACGCGCTGCGGGCTCTGCGCAATGCTCGACGCGGGGAGGCAATGGCCAAGAAAAGCCGCGGTCTGCGGATTTTGCGGCAGTGTGCTCCCCTGCAAGTTTGGAATGGCACCCAGACAAAGTGGCCTCCAGGAGATTCTTTTTTTGTGATTCCATGTTATTTGCAAGGGCATCTTCCTTTTCGTCAGGGCTTGTGGATATGCGCCGGTTCGACCCTTTTGGGGTGGACTCGTATGCCAGGTTTCGAAGACCCTGGTTTTGGCATCCTTGCCTTAAGCTTCCGTGTTGAATCGACAAGTCGTGGCCTGTGCTCTGCAACGGGTTCTTTCCTGGTTCTTCCAAGGGCCATGTATGAAAACAGGGTCCTTCCTGATTCTCTTGGATTGAAGTGGAGGAACAGCCTCTTTCGCCTGCATCTTCAGGTCAGGGTTTGTGGTCCATGGTTTGGTGGTTCCCCAGGTGCTGACCCCTGCTGGGGCCTCAGAATGCTTTCCTTCAAGCTGCCACGAACTGTAAAACCGCACAGCCAGTGCGGTGGATAGACTGACCTGTGTCCAAGCATATTCCCCTCACATCCTTTGTGCTATAAACCCCCACTCCAGGCAGTGGAACCAGCTGCCAAAATGGCCAATAGGGAGTTTGCATGCTGCATTTGACACATCGATCATGGCATTTGCGGCTCAACCTTACGCGACCTTGGGCGCTGCTCTCTCCCAGGATGTGCTCAGCCGTGTTTCTTTCCCCCAGGTTCCCCAAAGTTTTCCTTGAGGGCATTTTATATTTTTCAAGCTCGAAACATGCAACAGGTCCGGCACAAGTTGTCTCTGGGGTTGGGCCACGGCAAGGTTCCAAGTTCCCATTGACGGCTTTTGGGGCCCCTCGAACTCCCCTTCGAAACTTTCGGCGCTGGAGGCCTGTATTTATCCCGCTAAAATCACACCTACCAAGGGGGGCTCGTCTGAACTGGACAATTACCAACGTTTAAGAGCACCAAAAAGGGATATCTAGGCCCTGTGAAAGCTGGACGACTAAGTTACAGTGCAGTGCTCATGCTTCTTTCCAGCACCCTGCGTCTACGATGTGTCCTTTTGTTGGAAGCTGCGGTACTCCTTGGAAGGTCATACATTCGGACACTGTAGCTATGATCTTTGCTATAGGCTTTGCCTGGGTCTCAAAGGCTCAATAAGAGCAGACATTTGCCAAGTCTGTTCATGGTGTACCCACAAGAATTAGGCTAGGGAATTGATATTGAGTTGCTTGTTGCTGGATAGCCCACACATGGCGTACTTACATGGCAACAAGCAGTCCAGTTGCAAAAGCCAGACAACTGATCCCCAGCACCTATGCTATGTGCTACATAGCTGAGATGTTTGAAATCCAAAAAGGAAGCGAACCAGCAAGGGAAACCAACCAAAGCCAGCAAGGGATATGTATTTGCTCGATTTTTGTTCAGCCTTGAGCTTGAACCCCTAGTTCTGGCTTGGAGCTTTGGCTGCTCTAAGCGCTATCGAAAGCTTCAGGCGGAGACCTTTGACGCGTCCGGGGCTCCGGATATCCCAGGGATCGGAAAGGCATCCGGGCGTCGAAGGCATCCGGCCATTGAGCGCATCGGGGGTGCTCTCAACTTCCAGGGTTGATGTTGTGGTTAGTTCAGCGATTCAACATCCGGGACTTCTCCAAACTTCCGGGTTTCATAGATGCTACGGTGTATATGTTTTTTGCTCATGGTTGGGTCATGGGCTCGGAATCTGTGAAGGGTGGCCTGGGAAGGGGGGAGGGGGACAAAGCAAAGTAGCACAAATTACGAGACCAACTCGCCCTGATTTAAAGACCTCTTTTTTGTGGGACTTGAGAAAATCGGTTTCCTCGCGGTTGTAGTAGGGGACAAGGATCTTCCCAGCGGCTTTACCCAGGAGGATCTTTTCTCCAGTGAGGCCCAACGAGGGAACAGAACAACTTTTCAAGGGGTACCATCAACCCTATGGGGCAATTTCATAACTTGGGCCCTTTGCTTAGAGAGGGGCAGGTGGAAAGGCTGTCAGATGTGGCCGCAAAAGCCACAGAAGGATCAGCGGTGTGTTTGTGCCTTCCAATGGCTGTTTGTGCGACGTTTGGAAGCTTTTCAGATTGCATCACCGTGCTTTGCTGCTAGTTTGAGGTGGGTGTCTGCTGGTTTTGACTTTGTCAGTACCTTTTCGTGCTCTCATAAAATGAAAGGAGTGTTGTGAACAAACGACGTCAACTTCTGTACTGCAGACCATGCTCGCATCCTGGCCCAGCAAAGGCGACGGTCAATCAAGGTCCCGGAACCCCCGGAAATGGAATCCCCTCCCCTTGCAGCATTGCATCATCAAATGCACGTTTTTTTTCACCAGCAACATCCAGCATCGTTCAATCCCCAGCATAACCAGCCACACCCCAGCATCACCGGCGGGTTGCTCCTGCAGGTTGATTTCAAGTTGGATTTTAGGCAGCAAGAGGGGGCTTAAGGTTGGCATAGGGTGTGGCGTCCACAGAGTTCTTCGGAAGACAAGTCACGCAGCACGCAGCAAGCTGAAAGGTAATTTTAGATTGGGCAAGGTCATCACAAAGCCGAACAACACGTCCGCACGCCCGCAACCCTCGGTTTCCACTCCTTAACCCCGATTCCGATGCCTCGAGGCCGTACCAGACAATGCACCTGGGCCAGGCAGGCTTTGCCAGGGCCCACGCCTTGTTCCTAGCCATGCTTTGTACCAGATCCCGTTATGGTAGCAAACTCTTCGGGTTTCGTACCACGCCTTACATTTGTTTCTTCCTGTCTATTTCTCGAGGCACCGGGATGTTTAAACAAACACACTTGTTGTGTTCCCTTGAAGGGAGCCAGTGTTTGGTTGAACATGTTTTGCCCAACCTTGCTGCGTTTCTATCCGTTTGCCAGTTGTTGTGTTTGGGTGCCTTGACATTACCTATATATATACACACCTTTTTTTGTTTACCTAGAAAAAGGCCAGAAAGCGGGATGGATATGTTCCATACATGTTTTTCAGACCCCGCATCTCGGACCTGGGCATCATGTTCCCGGAGCAGTGACACAGTTCTCGCGGCAGGTGATGCATCCAGGTCCCGCCGCGGACTTTGAAGACTCAGCCCCTTGGAATCGGCCGGACGCCGACGTCGGGCTCCCCGCAAAACGGCTAGCCCCAAGGCCGCGAGGCGAAAATACCACCACCACTTTCTAGACACAGGGGGTCCACAAAGAGACGTATATAATACATACCCTTCACATGTATATATGCGCACATGCAATATATGTATCTATATGTTGGGCAATATACACTCTATTTTCTATTGGGCCGCGGAAGTACTTTGCGCGTAGTGGAACCCCTGGATTGTTGGAGTACAAGTACCTTTTCGGAATGGCTCGGGGGTCAAAAGGTGTCAATGGGTACTTAGTGGGGCCCACAGACCGAAGATCCACACCTCGCTTGCGAATCGAGCTTCCATTTCACACGACCCAAAGAAGGGGGTGCCTGTGTTCCAAGGACGTCTCCAGAAGATGCATGACTAATTATGCATGATGCCTTTTTCTTTTCTTGGGCCCAATGTCTAACACCCAGACGCTTCTGGGACTGCTGGGGTACGGTCCCCTTGCCGGAGACTGGGCTTTCAGGCTGAAATCTGAGGAAACCCCCTGACTGCTAGCCCAAGTCACTGCCGGCCAAGGCGCTTTACGCCTCGGAGTTTTGGGGTGTTGCGACACATGTGAGCCGCCCACCGGGCTGTTAACTCCTCCAGGTTGATCAATCCAGGGTCGAAATTATGCTGGGGCAAGTGAAAATGACCCGGTTGCATCACCTGAAGACATACATCATAAATGTGATTTGCGGCTTCCACACCTCCGTTTTGAAGCTGGCATGCCCAACATTGTGCTCCATTCAGAGCTCACCCCTTGAGGAAACACAGGCTCAAGCGGCCAGAGGCAAAAATCGCCCGGGCCTTGCTGGGCTGTGGTAGGTAAATGTTTATAGAGCTTTGGAAGCATCTCCGTAGCAACAAGATTCTTCATGCGAGGCATGAGTCTTGAGCAGCTTCAGCTCCGGCGAATTGGGCATGGAACATCCGGGCTCGGAGTCTCTTCGCGTTTTTGCGTACGGGGCGTGTTGCTTACTTTTCTTGAAGTCGGATTTTTCTTAGGGACTCATGGCATGGGGCAATGCTGCTCCACCGACTGCGGCGGGCAGCGGACAGCAGTTTTGAGGAGCGGGCGCAGCGATGTGGGCAGGGCTAGCTGTTGAGTATTTTGCGGGCTTTGCAAAGCTTGACTGAGTCAGGGCATGTTAGGCACCCCGTCTTTTGGACCCCAAGTTTGTGTCTTGCTTACAAAGTATTGCTCCTGTTTGTTGGACCCTAGAGGTAAGTAGTGTGCCAAAAGGGGCTGGAACAATTGCTTTCCCTGTTCGAGTCATGTCAAGGGCTCAGATCGTTTTGATGTCAACTCTGGGATCAATCCGGCTGCGTGACTAAGCAGAGGTGTACCCTGAATAAACGCCGAGAAGGATTACCTGGCAGAGGCTCATTGATGCAAGGTGGATACGCAGTGCCTTGGGAACACCGCTGACTGCATTCACGAGCATCGGTTCTGCTGTTGAGGGTCGGCTGTCGGCACTTGAGAGGCTAGTGGGGTCATGGGCCCGGCCAACGTTTCCTGTATCGTAAAGGGTTGGTATGCCTGGTTGGCATTAGTATGTTATATATATATAGAGGTATACCCATACTGGGGAGACTTTAAAGAACGATTCACACTCGGGTAGGAATACAGGTGAATTGTTTATCGTAGAATACCTCTTTTGAGCGGAGGTCCGGACCAGAGCGATGGCTCAGGGAGCTATGGGAAGATCATGACCCTGAATGGTATTGACTGCGGAGCCGCGCTAATGGTCACTATTAGGCTGCCATGGCCCCCCTTACGATGCCAGAAATATGAGCCCCACGAGCGGGTAATGTCGTGGGTTTATTGTGGTCGAGCAGTACCAATGAAAAGGGCTGGGAGTCAGGATGTAGATTGCGCTTGATTGGTGACAAAGCCTGCATTAAAGCAATGAAGAAGCAGCAAGTGCAACAAGTACAGTGTTTGCTCTCAAAGCCCATCATTCATTTCGGATTGGGGGCTTTGGCGACAGCCTTCGCAGGATGCCAAAACAGTCTTGAGCAGATGTGTTGCCATTTTTGTGCGCCGGAAGTTGCCGCGGGACGACGAACACCCTTCTGCGCGATTTATCGTTCATGAAGCCCGGGTCTCGCGGGTCTCGTTCGATGCCCGGCCCATTTTGCCAGGAGAAGGCGTCCCCGCCGTACATCGGACCTCCCTGTGAGCTGCCAGTGGTTGATCCAGAAGCGGCTCGAGCGGGATTTCGAGCGTCGGGGGTTGGCAAGGGGCTCCCACACATGGATCTGAACCAGGCCCCTAGACAAGTTGTTTTTTGTTTTTGTTTTTCCGGAGAGGTTCCATGGCTACTTCTGAACCTCCTATCCACCGGGAACCAACGCTGGAAGGAGATTTGTCGAAAGGATTCTTGGATGGGACTGATGCTTCACTGTAGTTTTGGATCAGACTTGATCTGAACAAGTGGCTGGGCAGCCAGTCCGAATGACCCCCCTCCAGGGGCAAGTTCAATAGGCGCATGTTTCCGTGGTAATATCTGGTTCGCTCTCTGCCCCCAGCATTCCAGAGCTCAGGGCTGCTTGTTGGCGCTGTCTTGGTGGCGGCAGGAAGGTTGCTCGGGGCTGGTTAAATTAGGGTGGGTTTCTGGTTGTGGCGGTGTGTGGGTAGGTGAGTTTGGTACCCACAGCACAAATGAGCTCCAAGCCAACGCCACACCCGCCCCAAAGTCAACCACTAAACCCAACCAACAACAGCCTGCTTTGCCGAAGTGAACCTCCCTTGCCCGGATGCTGGTTTGCAGATTTCCCTGACAAATTTGTGCTGGGAGACTTTCCCTGTCTGGCTCAGCAGGATGTTTCTGGTCTGGGATTGCGTGCTGGGCAAAAAGCTTTCCAGAGTCTAGCGGCGTCGGATGTTGACAATTTGGCGTTCACATCTGAATTTTCACCCGTCCTTGGCCCTCGAAGCCTGGCCCGTAAACCTCCCTCAACTTGGCTGCACAGTTGTTGAGTCGCATGCTGAGTGCCAGCGTTATCTGGTCACATGCCGCAGAGGGATGAGCTGCCACTTTGCTGCAGCGATCACGAGCCCGCAAAGTTGCCAGCGGAAGCTGCTTCCGTCTCGCCGTTGGAAGCAATGTTGCGTGCAAAGGTTTGTCTCAGAAGCGTCAGAAGCGTTGTGTGGGTCATAGCGGGCCCGCGCGACGCAAGGGCGGGCCATTGGCAGCGGGGTGATCAGGCGGGGTTCTGGTTAGCGTTTCCAGGGGGTGTCAGCTTCATGCGCGTTGCGTGGGCTTGGCGTTTTGCGTTAAGCCGCTCGCAGCCTTAAAGTGACTTGTGAATGGTAAGAGTTGGCCCCCTAAGCTTTTGCGCCTTGCCGGCACAGCTGTGTCTCGCGCAACGCGCAGTTAAGACACGGGCGGCGCGATTTGCCGGTAGCTATTTGGAAGGGCCACCGCTAGAAAAAAACAACCCCTTGCAAAGGAAAGGTGCCTTTACCCCATACTGCACCTCATTTAGTAAAGGACAAACGGCGACTGTCAGAGCTGCCAACCAGTTTCCGGCATCTTCCGGCGTCCCACGCACCATTTGCTTCTATGAATCAAGAAACGCGCGCAGGGAACCCTGCCGCATCCAGTTTCCTTCACCGAGTCACTGAATGTTGTGTTCAGGGTGTTTTCGGCTGGATCCGTTCCCACTTCAACCTCTTAGCGCGTTTAGCATCTTGTCTTTTTTCGTTTGGCCCTACCTTGCACATCTTGAGGCGCAACCATTCGCAGAAACCCTTTGCTTTCCCACGGCGGGCGCCACGCAGGATCGATGTCCTTGTATGTAACACCAGCCGCGAGCGATTTGTGAAGATATGCTTCCTGCTCCTGAGGGAACACTGCAAGGCTCACGGGGGGTTACTGGACTTAAGAAACGCCCGGATGAATCAATTTCCCCCGGGCAAGCTCCGTGTTGAGGACCCCATTTGCGTGGAGCCACGGCGCCGCCGTGAGCGGCGCGAGCGGTGCGCGCGCCAGAAGAAGAGCGGAAGCTTGGCCGGTCGCGGATTTGGGGGGAAGCCGGGGCTAGTTCATAAACGTTTGTATCTTGCAGCTGAGAGCCACGAACGAAACTACAAGCAAGGAAATGCGCATGTTGTTTATTGTCCGGGGCTTTACCATTCCAGACGTCGCATTTGAGGCAGGGCGCCTGGAAGACAACTTTTCTCAGGGTGCACGGAGGGAATGCATTTCTCACAAAACTATTTTTTTATCGACATCTAGTTTGCAACCTTTGTGCTTAGCCCAGTTGCGAGGGTTTCTTGGCCCGCAAAAGAACCTCCAAGATGCCCCCCCGCCCCCATTCAATTTGGATGGCTCCTTCGAGCCAAGGCTTCCGTTTCACCTGCAGCTGCTGCTGTTGCGCAGTGGGCTTGCCGCTTGGTCTTTTGCGTGGCTGGGTCTCCGGAAGGTCGTCAACCCTCCCGCTTCGATCTGCTACTGTGAGTTGACTTGCAGTCATTTCTCACAAAAAAAGGCCAGATGCTATGCGAGGATATGCACCCATGCGTAGTGAGACACAGCCTGCTGCACGCTTCTCATGTGCAGTCTGCACTGAGCCTTCGAGCAAGCACGCGTCAAACCCAGCCGGAGGAACATGTTCAACCCAAGCTCATCAGCACGCCAGTGCTCCCATGCAGCACGAACCGGCCAAGGAAGCCATGTGTAGGTAGGCCACCAGACCCCATTCCTGCAAGAATGCTAAATAGAGCCTCTGGAGTCTTGTCAATATTCAGGACTTGGCCTTTCTTAGGGAAGTTCAACAGGCGTGCGCTATTCAGCGTCCAGAATGCAGTGATCGGGCCCACCTCCAGCAATCGATTCTATCCTTGTGCTGCGGCGGTTTTCCTGCTTCTTGAGCTCAGCTGGCTGGGAACAGCCGCGCAGGCTGGTGATTTGCGCCTTTGCCATCACCGGGCGCCTCATCATTAGCCACACCTTGGAGAGTCGCACGCGCCTTGGATCGCAGTCACGGTAAACCCAAGACCCCAGTGGATTGTACCTTGTGCTGCTTTGTTTGGAGGGGCAACTCCCTCTGGAATCAACTCCCAAAAAAAACGGGGCCCTTTTACTGTTCATGCCATTGAAACCCAAGCAACGGCAGACATCAGTTGGGAGCCCTGTGCATTCCAACCTCTATGAAGGACATGCGGCCATGGAAGGAATGCAGGACTGAGACTGGGATTGGCATGTCAAGGGAAATTGCTGGGCAGAGGCGTTGCCCCGCCATATGTCCCTACCCTGATAGGGGTACCAACCCCAAAAAAGTAATCAGCGGCAATATTTTTGGGGATCGGGGATCATACCCCAAAGGCAGGCATTTGTTTTTCAAAGCCAACTGGCCTATGTTGCTTAGGAGAGCGCCTGAGAGAGACAGAGTTCTCCCGTACGCTTTGAGAACGAACGGGTTTGAGGTGGCAAAGTAAAAGTACCTCCTTTGGTATCAATTGACCCGAGATGAGTGTTTCCTGAGGTCGTGGCACCGCCCAGAAAGCTCGGGCGTCAACGATTCAGAGAACGACACAGACTCAAACGTGACCGCCGTGTGCCTTGCACAAAACTGGGTGAAGGAATGTATAGTAAAAGTGAAGGGCCTACCCAATGCTCAGTGTCATGACTAGCCTTCTTTTTTAGACAGATGACTTTGCTCCTAGCTTACAACATCAGTTGAGTTGTCTCCGTATCCCAACTTGCAGAATCTGTCGAGCCAAGCTGACTGGCTCTGGGTCCAAGCTGTTGTCCTTTCAGAGCGCTTCAAAACAACAGGTTGCGAGACGTGACTTCTTGCACGACGGGCCCCGAAGCGTCAAGACCTGCTGAAAAACGGGTACCTCGACCCCTTCTAACCCCAACGGCCATCCTCGAAGGGTACATCCCTTTTACCATTTTTTGGGGGAGGGTTCCCCTACTAAAATAAACTACAGAAAAAAAAAGTACCCGTATTCGATCCTCTCTGGCCAATGGCAGGGAGTCCATTGCCCTCAAAGTGCATGGGTGCGTGGCTGGTGATACGGAAGATGTTTTGTTTCGATATACTTTGTTTGGTAATGTTTCGTTTTTCTTGGGCGCCCAGGCCCAGCATGGCGAACTCGAGTGCTGCGGAAGGGGCTCCAGTTTCGACCGGCGACGCGCCTCTCAATGCGACGTCCCAAAACTTCTTGGAAGCCCCGAGCGATGTGGACGTCAACGTTACGGAGTCAAACGGCACAGGCTTGCCTGACTCGGTCTCCAACGACACAGCAGCGTGCCTTGGCTGCAATGCAAGGCATTTTGTGCTGACGGGCAGTACTTCTCCAGCGATGAAGGATGATGCACACTTAAAACATTGATTAATCTGGTGCTCAGACACGATCACCCGGTGTTCGCAAAGCAGACCCTACGATGTGTCTGATGGAGTGTCGATTCAAATTGCAGCCACACGGGCCAAAAGGTGGGGCTACTTGGACCGAGCAACCAGGCAAAGAAAAAGTTGGGTTCCACTACTCCGTCCAAGGAGGGTTTTGGAAGACAGTCCTCTCAGAAAGGCATTCAGCCCGCTTCCATTGGAAAGACCAACTTGGGGGATACCTTACTAAAGCAGTTAGTTGGAACCAGCAACCTAGTGGTTGGTGGAATTTACTTACCCCGAATTTGAGGTCATTTCGGATCCCGAACCCAACATATATGCCAGGTCAAAGTTCTGTTTGAGCCACGGGGCTTTTTGGGTCTACTTGTCCACCCGGGTTGAACCACCGCTTTTTCATGCATGTCCAAAATCCCCTTTACTATCCCAAAATCAGTTGGGACCCAGGTGCTGGTCCACCCACCCAAAATGGTTGTTCTCCTTGGGTTCCCTTCTTCACCTACCAAAAATGGGTTCTCTACCAAGAAACGGTTCATCTCAGTCCACATGTCGTTTCCGTTGCTGTGGTCCCACCACGGATTGCGGACAGGATTAGGGTTCCCTTTCCCATATTTCATCACCCAGGGAACACCAAGTGACGATAGTTGGCCTGGGCATGCCAACGGAAGTTCTTTGTTTGCAATTCACACTTCTCACGCGCACAAGCGTGAGCATAGCATGCCGCTGTTCTTCAGAAGCTTGGGACAACGTGAGTAGGCTCAACCACAGTTGTAACGAACAAAACATACCCCTCCCGGGATTTCAGCTTCAGCATTTTTGCGTATTTCTCAGCCCAGGCCGAGTGTCAATACCAGCATGGCGAATTCGAGCGCTGCAGAAGGGGAGCCAGTTGCGACCAATGACGCGCCGCACAATGCGACGTCCCAAAACTTGTCTGAAGCCGCCCCGAGCGATGTTGGCGTCAACTTTACGGAGTCCAACGGCACAGGCTTAACTGACTCGACCTCCAGCGACACGGACGCAGCGTGTTTTGGCTGCAGTGGTGAGTCTTGTGCTGACGGGTAGCACTTATCCGGCAAAAAAGTGTTTTGCGTGCCATTCAACCATCAAGATTATCCTTCCGTTCTGTGTGTACTGCAGGGCTCCTTATCTCAATCAATTTGTTGTCCGAATGGAGCTGATGTTGCTACTGCATTCGCATCTAAGACCCTGCCCTACCTCTGCAGGGGAGAGGTGGGAGGTCAGAAGCGAAAACACCAGTGTCCGATTTGTTCACCGCTTCAAGCTGGGCAAACAACCTTTCCACAAGTAGGCTGAGACCATTCGGCGTTTCTTCAAACACTGCAGATAACATCAACGTCGGCTGAACATCGAAGATCATCATGTGTTAGAATTACTGGTATCTCTTGGCAGCCCAGGACCAGTGTCAATGCCAGCGTGGCGAATTCGAGTGCTGCGGAAGTGGCTCCAGTGACCGACGACGAGCCTGACAATGCGACGTCCCAAAACTTGTCTGAATCCCTGAGCGATGTGGGCGTCAACGTTACGGAGTCGAACGGCACCAGCCCATTCAGCCCAGCCTCCAACACCACGGAAGCAGCGTGCCGTGGGTGCAGTGCAGCGCTTATTGCGCAAGCAGTCTGTTGCAATCCACGTCTCAAAGTCCTCCAAGGTCAGTCAGTCACAATTCCCATGGCAACAGCAATAGTTGCTATGTATATTATGTTTTTGTTATTCCCTTGTCATCAATGTGGCTTGCTCGACCTCGGGAGATCCGAGCCGAGGCATTCCCCGGATGTAGCAGGGGAGTCTTGCTTGAACCCAATATCAGATTCTTCAGTGGCATCCCAATTTGAAACGCCCAGTCAAGCTAGGTTGGTTAAAACTGAAGAGCTTCGCCGCTTCATGAAGAGAAGCAGGTCAAATTCACAGATTTGTCGAAGTTAAAAGCCAGTGGCTCAGGTTCACTGAGCAGGTGTTAGGCGCATGTGACAAATGCGTGGGCCAAATCCACTTGCTTCCTTTTGCAGCCTGTTGAAGACCCCGATGGATTGTTCTGAGGGATCTCACCAACCACGGACCAGAAGCAAACTATTGGATTTGGGGTTCAAGCTCAGGTAGCGCCATCCGTTTGTGAAGTTGTGGCAGCAGAGCTTTGGTGCCGGAAGATTTGATACGACGATGCTCCTCCTGCATCTGCAATGGGAAGGAACCCGGAAAGTCTCCTTACGCAAATGAACGCCTCTGTTTGCACCTGCGTTGGTGCGTCGGGCCGTTTTGCAGCCCAGGCAGGGTGTCACCGTTAGCGTCACGGATTCAACTACAGGGGCTGCTGAGCTGAGCGACGTCTACTACGGCTACGATGCTGGAACTTAGCAGGCTTCACCCCTCTCGAATGTTGGAATCTTTTTCAGGAGGTACCGAATGGCCTCTTTCAACCCCTCAAACACCCATGGAAGGGTGCCAAAGGTCCCTCTGATTGTCTCCCTCAGTTCACCCAAAAGTAATTAGGTGGATTCTACCTGGTTTAATTGGGGTTGGAGATGGGTTGGAGTAGCAGCAAAGCCAGTATAAAGCTTTTGTACGTAGCCATGTGTGTGGGGGGGGGACCCCCTTTGCAGAAGTGTTGAAAGGGACATTGTGAAACAAACCCTTTGCTATTTTTGGGGCTCCCATTTAAGACAAACCCATGTGAGTAGAACCCAAAGACATTGTGTTCCCTTTCCGAGTCCTGAGGTTATGGGGAGCTAACCTCTGAGCCTTCCGCGGAGGATCACGGCAACGAAAGTACGGAAGTTGCTCGGCTCGTATGTTGCAAGTCGTTCAATCACTATGTGGTTTTTGTCTTTCATTCTTTTTAACAGATCCATATTTCTTGGGTGCCTCGATAACCTTGGAGGTTGATGCTTTTGGAGGGTTTGAACCGGGCATTTTCATCCGAAATCAGAGGGTATCAAGGGACTTGGGGTTTCTGGCACGCCCTTTCCAGCAACAATCTGATTGGAAGCATGTTCGCTTGGTGCTTTCTGTGATTTGATATGGGGCGTGCCCACAGTGCCACAATGGACAGCATTTGGATGACGGGGGTTATCCAGGCCGACGACAGCGGGGCAGGTGCTGAGGCGGGCGAGGGTTTTGGTCTTTTGCAATGCCTCGAGCGCATTGAGCCGTGGACAAGCTCGGGGCTTTTAGTGCTGCCCTTTGTTTGTTTTGTCTTTGTTGTTGAGGAAGCTCCCCAAAAACACTCAGCTACCACAAAAGGGGCGTGTCTCCTCCCTGTTGTGGAAGCTCACCCAAAGAGTCGGCTACCACAAAAGGGCGGGGCAAACCTGGGGCGAGCCTGCTGGCGTGAAGCAGGTGCAGCGCATGATGGCGGCATAAGACAAATCATTTCGATCTGATTGATTGATGAGGAGGTGTTTTCCCCAAAAGCGCTTTGGATTCCAATGGGGGCCCTGCTCATAAGCCAGTGGTTTCAGAATCCAGCCTTCGTATCCAACTCGTTTCAGCCCAACTAAAGTTGACAAAAACAGGCCCAGCGGGACGCGGTTCTGACATGGGTGAAAACAACTCTTTGGTTCATGCAAGGGCCAACTTCAAGCTGTTCAATCCAAAGTCTTGTCCGAAACAGTTTTGCATTTTAGGATGGACTATACTTGGATACGCCTAAGGAACAATTTCCAAGTTGTTTTTTCCCCCGAGATAAGAAGAACAAAACGGTCATGCCTGTCAAAAACGCTTTTTTTTCGACACACGCCGCATGTTGCCCATCCTGCCTCTGCGTGATGGTCCCCAGCCACAAAAGCTTGGATCCCGCTTCGGTTGTTCCGCGGATCTCCGCGGATTTCTCATCCATGTCCGCGTTTTTCCCGCAGATGTCCCAGCATGATTCACAGCACTTTTTCCACCAGGGCTGATTCAAAGTTGAAGCACGCAACAAACAAGTTGCACCTTCGCCCATGTTCCGGATGTTCCGCCCAGCAAGCAAATAAGCAGACAAACTGCAAGAAGCAAGAATTTGTTCCTATTTAAGGTTCCAGGTATACATGAACATCTGAACAAGAGTTTCAATGAACGTCTGATTTCCGTGTAGCCCTAGCCAAGCAAAGGTCAGGCTGGTTGTCACTTGCGAATGGGCCCAGCCATTGCTCAGGTCGGAGGCTGGGCCCCGAGCTTCCGAGAGCCTGGGGAAATCGAGTGGCTTTTGATGAGGGGATCAATTTTTGGAAGATTCCCTTCAAAGGGTCCGAAGCGTTTCAGTGGATCAGTGTAGCGCTGAAGGGAATGGGGAAGGGAGCGACACAGCTTCTGGCCCACAAGGCGAATGGGCCAGCGCGAACGGGAGTGTAGGATGACGGACTGCTTAATAGCGCGTCCATGCTGGTCCGCTTTGGTGGATGAATCCGAGAGAGCATGCGAATGAGGGGAGGTTGCCCTCGTAGTGGGGAGTTCATGCATGGCAAGGATTTTCCTTGGATTTGTCTGGTCCACCGGATGAATCCGAAGCCCACATTGGGGTGAGACATAAAAATGATCCTGCACCTTCAGCCAGCGCAGTTCTGTGCTTTATATAGCAGGTTATTCGCCTCGTTTTTTGGGTATGAGGTGCTTGGAGGTGACCTTCTGCCTTGCGATGCCAAATTAAGAGTTGGAATGCCCTGACCCCTGAGGATCACAATGCATAGCTGAAAGCGGAATTGGCCCTCCCTCCCACTAACATGGGACCTGACGGTGGGTCCCTACAAGAGGGATTTTATCTTCCAGGTTGTCCATGTTTTTGCTCATTCCAATGTCAAGAGCACAGCCTTACACCAATCACACAGTTTTCTTATTTCGTCGGGCTTGTAGAGTTTGGCGGTGTCAGGCTACGTGATGTTGACCTGCTTGCTTCAGGTTGTGCATATTTCCTTTATGGGCACTGGAGGGTGTGCCTCCACTTGTGTCCTATGCAGTTTGGTGTTGAGATGACGGCAACTTTTCTTGCGACAGGCACAGGCAGTACCTCGACCACGCCGATGTTGTCAACCACGGCCACGTCGGCATGGCCTTCCACTTCGCCATTTTCAAATATCTCCAGTGCCTCGAACACCCAGACCACAACCCTTTTCAGCACCACCACCACCACCAACACCACCGCCAGCACCACCACCGCCCGCACCACCACTGCTGGCTTCTTTGGCTTGAATGGCACGAGCACTACCTCAACCACCGGCAAGTTTACAACTGCCACAACGACGAAGCTGTCGACTCCAGTGTCCTCAAATGGCACAAGTACCACGAACACGTGGACAACGCTTTTCACCACCAGCCCGCAGCCCGCGAGCGCGCAGACAACCACAGCCTCCACCTTTGTAACCACCACAACCAGCACGGCATTCCAGCCCTCAGGCGCGAGTTTGTTTGTCTCCAAAATTCTGGAACATGACTGCAACTGCATGTTTCTCGCTGGTTCGTAGGGAGTGAGGTTGGCACCCCCGAACTAAAGCCTCCTCTTGCGGTTTCCTATCGTGATTCCATTGGTTCCCAAAACCCTCAAAGAATTCCCCACTGGATGCACGAAATCCTGAACCACCGTTCCGAAACCCTGGTTTCCGATGATTCACCTGTAAATACCAACAGGCAACGACCTCCCATGGTTTCAACGTGGTGAAGGATTTTGTGCATCCACAGTACGAGCCCAGGCCTCCAAGCGAATCCATCCGCGTCTTCCCGGCTCGTAGGCCCCTTGGTGGCCATGCCCAACTGCTTCCTGGCGCCTTTGGTGGAGAAGACTGGGTGCCAGCGCCTCATGGTGGAGGCCGGAGCCGCAAAACCGGAGCTCAGTGTCTTTTTGTTTGAACCGGAGGTCGGCTTAAGCCAGAAGGTGGTGGATTGTTTGGTTGGTTCATTGCGGGGTCCAGTTTTCCTTGTTTTCTCTTCTTTCGGACCCCAAGCTAAGCTCGGGTAAATGAAGCCCCCGGGGGGTTCAGTCTGCCTTGGGGTAATCAAGCAGCCGCCGCTGGGCGTGAAAGGCAGGATTATTATGGATGTGTGTTGTCTTTTGAGAGTGTGTTGCTTTTGTTCAGGGCATTGCGGCGAGGGTTCACGTATGTTTGGGCAAGCCCATGTACATTGCCATAGGGTCCTTGGGGGCCAGTCCGCCATCAAGCCACATTGGTGGTTTTGCTGGGCATATAGCACCCAGGGACCTGCAGACAAGTTTCAGGGTATCATGAGATGGGGTGCATGGTTGCAGGGGCGGGGGTTCTTTCTTCTCTTCGGGGAATATGATTGAGCAACCTCAACAGCTTGACACTTCCCCCCCCCAACAAAAACAACAACAACACGCATGCATTGAAAGCTGGGGCTCCATCGTCCGGACTTGCTTACTTCGTAGATTATTCGTACAATAATCAAAGCAAAACAGTAAAACAACGATGAAGCACGGGGTTCCAACTCTTTGTTGGAGAGCCCAAGGAAGTCCCCCAGATCCGCAGATGGAATGTTGGTTCATGTGAATCTCGGTTTGGAAGGCACAGGTGGTTTTGCCTCTTTGACCCTCTACAAGAATCAGGGGTGTTCAGGGGTGACTCAAACCCCCATCCAAATCACCAAAGGGCAAGCTGAAGCAATCGCACTTTCCGCAGGAGCTTCTTAGAATGAAAACTCTTCAATGTATTGTTTGACCCTCTACAAGAACCAGGGGTGTTCAGGGGTGACTCAAGCCGGCATCCATATCATTAAAGGGCAAGCTGAAGCAATCACACTTTACACAGGAGCTCCCCCGAATGAGAATTCTTCAACGGGTCGGTGTGGTTGGTTCCAGCTCAATCCGCGGGAAAAGCGATGCCAGGAAGATGCCCGCTTTGGCTTGAACGAGTTGCAGCAGGAAACCACTGCGCGCCGCATCTGCCAGGAGAGCGGCTTGGAGAGAAAGATAAGGGGCCCCCAAGGCAGCCAAGTGGAGGTTTCACCACACAGTCTGAAACGATCCCAAGCAAGAGCTCGCGAAACTTGAGCCTGCGGGGCGTTCCAGACATTCCCCCGCAGTTTTTCAACTGGTGTCCCAAGGTTCCAAGGTTGTTTGAGGAGGAACAGCCAAGCTTTGACGTGTTTAGGAGAAGTTATGTAAAGTGTTTAGGGCTATCCAAGTACACCCCTTGACATCTTGCTCAGGCGAGGGTTATCCACGCGAGCCCAGGCAAACTTAGCTCCATGCTCGCTTCCGTGCGAACGGCTGTTTCCCAAGAGTTGTTCAAACCATGGGGGCCAAAATGCACAACCCGAATTTGGGGCCGCTTTTTCTGTGTCACCCTGATGCATTTGCACGTCAACTCCAACCCAAAGCCCCAGTGAAAGCTATTGCGAGTCCATGGCTCCAACTCACAGCCGGTATGGAGCCAATGCCGGGTTCAAGCTTCGGGAAGCTTTACATTCAAAATGCCTTCCGCAAGGCGTGCCGTGAATCTGCCACCTATAAGGTTTCGTGCCTTAGCCTTGTACTGTTGGTTACATTCTTAGGCTTTTTGATTTGCTGCCCCTGTTTGTCGTTTCGATTTGGGCCAATCAAAAGATATTTTTCTGCTGGTCTCCAAACAGTGGTGCTAGGGACTGTCTGCCGTTGAACACCCAAGTTCTTAGCTTGCCCTGCAACCCCTTGCTAAGTCTGGCGTCTCCTACAAAACTAGTTCAGAGTCCTAGGGCCGGCCAAATCTGAACATGTGTATTTGTGTGTCCCAGACGTGTTCCAGTGGGTTTCACCTCCTTCCAACGCGTTTTTTGTTTTCTTCCCCGCCTCGCCGCCGAGGCGCCCGGGCGCTCGGGGCCAACACCTGGCAGTTTCGGGTGGGCCGCTGCGAGGTTTGGAACTGCAGCTCCAAGGCTGCCCTTCAGAGGCCGGAGTTGTTGGCCCGGAGAGCGCCCGGTTGGGCGGGGGGGAGGTTTGGAGGGGGGGGGGGAGGTTGAGGAGGCAGGGGGAGGAGGGACCTAAAAAAAAGGCAAAGGTTTTCTTGGGGGGGTGGGGGTGAGACGGTGGGGGGGGCGGCGGGTCGGGGAGGAAGGGGGGCAGGGGGGAAGAGGTCAAGGGAGCCAAATGAGGGTTGCTCAAAATAGTGGTGAAAGAGACCTGGTTTCCTTCTGGCTTCCAAACGTAATACCACCAACCAGGGGCCGGGCGAGTTTTGTTGATGGAACCCATTTGAAATGTTGGGTGGGCTTAAAGGGAAGCCAAGCAGGAGATTTTTATCACGTACCCAATGGCCTGGAGCATAGGGCCATATAGGGCCTAAGTCATTAAAGTTGGGTTGTGGAGAGTTATTAGAATACCAGCGCTTCATGACCATGGGAGGATCATGCTTGTTTGGCTTCTTGAAACAAGGCCAGCAGCGCAGTAGCACCACCAGGAGCTTACTCATACACCAGTGCGAGTACTTTTTTTGTTTGATCTGGGATTCGCAGTTCGCATTTGCAGCAATTGAGAATGTTCAATTTTTGCTGGGGGCTTCATGAGAGAGAAGTGCCATGGCAGGGTGCACGTCTCACTCAATCAGGACTTCTTGTTGTTGGAAGGGGAAAAGAAGCGAATCCTTGTTTTGGACACGCAAACATGGAATCTGCGCGCAGGTCGGCTGACTCCGGCCGAAGCGGCACGGAAGGCGCGGGCTTTCGCGGTCTGAGTTGTTTTTTGTTTTTTTAAATCAATCCCCGCCCTCCCCTTCACGCAGGAAATTGGGGAATGGGGTGCTGCCTGGAATTCCACTTGTAGTCCAGTTTCTTTCCAGGTAAGACTGGGAAAACGGGGTTGGGGGCCTTCTGGAACCGGGTGTGACTTTTTAGGTGGACACCTTCATCCGCCTTTCGGCTGGTTCGGGGGACTCTAAAAATGAACTTCGAGCAGCCTGCTTGTTTCTTTGGTGCATTTTTCTTTGGTGCATTTTGCTTGGATGTTAGGACTTCAACTTTTTGCCAACTAATGGGTTTTCCACTAAACTACCTAAAAGTTATTCACTTTTCGCAGGGGAGCAGAGTTAGCAACCGAGGTTGCAGCCCGGGCCTGTTTCACCAGCTGGTTGCGCCTGGCGCAGGTCTGCTGCTCCAGGACTACAAGGGTAGGATCGTCGCGACCGGGAAGGAGGAGCTGGCGGCTTGGCTCGAGCGGTCAAGAGGTCTTTCCTTACCCTTCCATTTGGGTGTGGCTCAACATGAAGCAGGAGAGGTTACGCAGGTTTTGGTCCATGTTTCCACTTGCCAGGGTTCCATTTTGGTACCGGTTTTTGGAGCCACAACATTTGGTTAAGAATATGGGTTATTTGCCCTGTTGGTTTTAAAGGGAAGCGATTTCAAGACTGGAAACTTGTGTTTATTTTTTCCCAGGGGACTTAAGCAAATGGAGGTATCCGAAAGATGCCACCGGAGTTGGCTGGCCAGAAGAAGCTTCTGGTCCTTGGAGTGAAGAACCGATCTGTTGTAGGGGGGTTCCTTGACTAGGGTCCTCCGGATGAATCCGAAACCCCTGACTCAATTTTAGGAGGAAACCTCCCAACAACTCTAGGGGTTGATTCCCCATTCTTTTCAACCTTTTCAAAAACCAGCTATTTCCTGAAAAGAAGGATCCCTGGAAAGAATGGGGAAGGTAGCCCTAGAACAACAACTTGAAAGTAAGAGTTGACGCTTGCCCATCTAAAATGCCAAATCGGTTTCCCTTTCTCAACAAGACAACTTTATATACATTTGTATGTTTATGTGTGTGTGTTGGCGTATGTATTTTCTTTGGTGTCTGAAGGTGTAAGTCATGCTGCATTTTGCATAGGGCTTGAGGTTGCCAGATCGTTTTGCAGATCCTATGCGAGCTTCTGTGTTCTTGGAGTGTTAGTTTTTGAGTGAGCTTGCTGGGCGTGCCGCCCACCCTGAGGTGGCAGAGTATGACTTTGTGGAATCTCTGGCAGTGGCCGAAGCCTTGGACATCTCAGGGGTAGACCGCGCTGCCCAAACCGAAGACTCTTCCACCCAACATGGGAAGCTGACTCGGGGTCCAAGCCAGAAGCCTCCGGTCTGCTTTTTTTCGTTGCTGGGGTCCCCTCCAAAATTAGTTGATATCGTAGGGGCTTGTAGGGTAGACTTAAAAATCAGTAATTTGGCTCCCCTTCTTTCGTGATAGGCCGGCGACTGACGCTGACAAGACCCTGAAACATCACAGTGGCGAGGCTTTGCTCCCCTGCAAATCACATGTGGGACCAAACCGAAAAAGTGGGTCCGACAAATGGAGATTCTTGTGCCACTGACTCAGATCTGGAATCTGCCTACTGGCGACGCCCAAAAGCCCGGTAGGTGGTTCCCTTGCCCGGTTGAATTGTGGTTATAATAAGGCCTTAAAACACCTTAATAGCCAAGTTGGTGGAGATCAATAACCATAAATAAGGAACGCCGAGTAAGGAATCTTCATCACGGGTGACCTTATATTCCTCCCCTATAATTTGCCCATATTTATAGCAACAGCCTACTTACGTGGGTCAACCATCCAAGTGCAGGGTCCCGTGCGCCAAGGTGGTGATCCAAAATCCTGACAGCACCGCCTACTTGCAGGGCGCAGATGGTCCGGGCCTCGGTCTTGTCCTCGAAATAGCCTCGCTTCGAGGCAACCCAAAAAAGGAAGTTGGGTGGGTCTTAAAATAGGAGATCCCCCAAATTCATTGTTTTTCCTTTGGCTTCCCTTCAAACCAACCCCACATAGTTTCAATGAAACGGCACACCTATGTGGCAACCCCCTCAAACTGGTCACTTTGCACAGCCAACTTGCTGGGTTAACTGCGCTTTGATTTGCCTATTGCGGAGCGGCCAGGCTTGTTTGCTTGAGCCCCTGCATTTTATCAAGTGAGTCTGGGCATCGATTTTGTTGGGCAGGTAGTCTTTTTCGCACGTGTCCAGTTTTGGGGGATGTTCGGATTGGGATCTCTTTAGACATGATTTTAAGTTTTGAGCTGCGCTAAACATGGCCCAGAATCAATCATTTGTCTGGTTCGGGGCACAAACCGAGGGAGTTAAAACATTTGAGAATCTATAAAAATGGGTTGGACCCGTTGGTTTCCTGTTTCTTTGTTGCTTTTGTGTTACTAAGGTCCTAACAGGTGCTCAACTTGATTACAAGCACCAAGTGGGGAAACCTCTGGAGAATTCACTTGTTGAAAGCTTGAACTTGAGCGGCGCCGCCGCTTGTTTTTTGTTTTTCTTCCGCCAGGTTCCAGCAAGGTTTCCCCTGCCCATCATGCTTGGCTGTAGCCCGCTCAATGGGAAAAAGGCAACACTCACACCAACCAGAATGCACATGAAGGTCTGTCAAAAGTAGGGGCCCTTTTTGGTATCCCTTTTAAAAGGCGGCACAAGGCGGCACCAGGTCCCAAAAAGCGGTCCATATGTTCGACAACCACCCACATGGAGCTCTCTGAAACCAAGAGGAAATGGGCACGGAAGCGCACGCGTAGGGTTTGCCATCCCTGAATGGGTGCTGTTTTGAGCCGGTTTCCTCCAAAACGGATTGGCTATAGTAGCTGGTTTCCCTTCACCACCTCATTTACAAGTACACACCCACCTGCCCGCCCACCCACCCACCCACCCGCCCGCCCACCCACCCACCCACCCACCCGCCCCAAAAAAGACACAAACAAGAGTGAAACTGCCACCTTTTCAGCAACATCTCCCCATCGAAGCCGAGGCAGTTACATCACCATGGGCCTGGCTGTCGGCCTCCAACAGGCCTGGCAATGGTCTAGGCTGGGTTGGTTTGGGTTGGGTCTCGTTGCATTTCGCCCGTTGGTTTGAAGCAAGTCAACCACCTTTTGAGGGGTCCCTGGACTTGAGACACAAGTAGTTAGGTTGTAACCATGGTGATGAGATCGGCTTGGTGGGCACATAGCCATGTGTTTTCCCCTTACGTACGTGGGGTGACCATGAAAAGTAGAATGTGATCGAAGGTTTTAGGAGCCAACTTTTTTTCAACTGAGTGCTAAACAGCACATAGTTTCCATGGAAAGGAAAGTGTTCTGTTTTTTCCAGACTGCCCTACCCTATGAAGCCAGTTAGACACCCTCCATGTTCCTGGGAAGCTTTAGAGTGGGGAACTTCCATGGCCCCCATTTTCAGGCTCATTGACTGTTTCGGGATGATCGCCCTCAAACCTACAAGTTGGACATGTCATGTTGAGTCGAGTTAGGGGCAAAAGCTGAGATGGTTGAACAACCAGTGCCACAGTAAAATATGACCCTAATGTTGCCTTGGAGACTTGTATAGGGAAGCCTTCATACGGAATCCCTTTAAGAGGAATTGCTTGGACGCCAGAGGAGGGTGTGTGGGGGGCTGGATGTCGCATCACCTCATACTTCTGACCATGTTTCCCACGCAGGAAGCTGCACGTTGGAGCCTGTCTGCTGCAGGCACAGTGTCAATTGAGGGAGGGGAGGGTCGGGTCTCAGAAACTGAGGATGATACGTGGGGTATAACTCCGGCAGCACTGGCGTGCAGCGATGAGCGCGCTTTCAGCTGTGGGTTGTGTCTAGGAGGGGCCCACTTCCAGGTTCCATGCTTGTTTCTGGGAGACCGGGAGCTAGCATCGGCCGGGCCGTGTTTTGCAGTCAGCGGCCCTTCCAAATGAAGATTTGCCTTTTTGTTTTCGTTCAGTGTCGCCACTGAAGGTGGTGTTTCCCTTCGAAGGGACGGACACGCTGCCCCAGATGAGATGTCAATTTGCAGCCTCAGACCCCTCTGAATCCCGCAAAAAATACTGAGGGACCCTGTACGATGTTCCTGCTGCCCACTTCCATGTTTGTTGGAAAGAGGGAGAGGGTACCCTCCTGCAGATAAACAAGGAACCTCAAAGCGCGGATGTTTCGAGCAACCCCATTTTTGTCCGGGGGTTGCACGTCCAGGGAGTCCACAAACAGACTCGCCCCGTGTCGGACGCTCTCATCTCGCTCTCCGCCAGACGACGGCGTGGCGCTCTTCGTGGAAGGCCAGCAGCTGGTGGTGAGAAGCTCGCGGCTGGAGCTTCAGCCGCCGGCCGGGGCCGGGGCCGAAGGCGCACGAGCCGCGTGCCGCGGGGGGGGGGGGGGAGGGGCAATGACCAAGCCACCTGTGGAATGATCATTGGAACAAGAGGTCGAAATGTTTGGCTGCCTTTTCTAGGGCTGGCCATGTGTCTAGCTTTGTGGCGATTGGGTCTTTGGAGCCAGCGTGCCCAAGCAGGGCAGCGTCCAGCATCTGTGAATACATTTGGGCTGCTCAAAGCAGTTCCCTTTGCCCCTATCGAAAAGCAGTGTGTTTAGAGGGCCTCAACCATTGCCTCTTGAGGCACTTCCCAGGGTCTGCCCTACCTGTTGGCATCTTAGTGACCAACTGCCGTGCCGGCGCCGACGTGAGGCATTTTCCATCTGGTGCCCGCTGGCCTCCAACGCGCTTGGGGACCCGATGCCCGGGTGTGGGTTCACAGCAGCTGGTGCCAGTACCAGGCGCCGGACATGTGGATTTCCCAACACATGGGACCTGAGGGCCCGGAACCCCCGGAACCCCCGAACTCCCACACCTGACACCTGGTCAGGCCGGCGTTATGGGAGTTCTCAAGCACTGTCGTCCCTTTGGCCCCCGTTGTTGTTGGCTGATTCCCGATCAAGACGGACCAGTCCAAAACGGGCTTAGGGTTTGTGCGGGTAATAGTAAGGCCTGTACAAGCTCAGCCATTCATGGCCAAATTCCCAGTTGCCCAGGAGTGAATCAAGACCCCTCTTGAGCCTTTGTGATAACCACGTGCGGATGGATATCTGCCCAATGTTCTAGAGCCTGCTTTTCGACAGTTACAGGCTCTGTTTCTCATTCTACACGTGCACTACAATCACGGAGAGCTAAATTGCGGGCAAAGCGAGCTGACTTCAGATGAACGTCACCCAAGCATTTGTTGTTTCAGGTTGGTCAGTTTTACAAATCACGCCAACAAGCATGGACGTGCACAAAGCCTATTTCGAACACGGGAGTTGTCACCAAGCCATGTTTGCTAACGCGTGCACTCAATGGGACAAAGGACGCATAACGACAGCTTATGTAGGCGCAAACAAAAGGAATATACCAACCATTTTCCTACAAGAGCGCAAGGGAGGAAGCCAAAGAATCGCAATTCTTTGGTGCCAATGTGGCTTGGGGGTAGTAAGATTTCTTTTGGATTGGGGGGTGCGTGGCGATCCATTCTGGCCTACTTTACCTGAAAGTGCAGGTTCAGTCTTGGTATGCCATGCCAAGTCACCAGCACCCACTCGCAAACTACCAACTGCTCCCTACCTACCAACCACCCACTTCCCACCCTACCGCCCACTGACCAACCACCACCCACCCACCACCTACTACCACCCTCCAACAACTGCGCACTGGCCACCCACCCACTCACCACCTGCTTGCCACCCTACCGCCACCCACCCTGGGCACCGCTCCGCTGCCTTTCGCGAGTCAGGAGCCCTACGGGGGCGAGGGCGGGCGCCAGCGCCGCAGCGCCACCTACGTGCAGCTCTTCGAGTGGAGCCACGCGCCTTGGACGAGAAAGAAGCTCCCAGCGTTTGGGGGGACCGTCGGGGTGGAGCCACCAAGATCTGATTGCGCCTGGTGGGCAGTGTGCGGTAATTATGGGTTCTAGAGGCATGCGCTTTAACCTAGGTCCATTGTCTACCAGTTGGATAGGAGGTATTTGTTGCCTTGCAAGCTTGGATTTGCGGTATGTTACCTCCAAAGCCCATTGCAAACGGCCGGTTCATGTTCTGTTCAAAGCTCCCGAGTTGATTCCTTTCCCCCTGTTGAGGCCTGGAATTTCAGAGGAAACCTCGCCGTTAGCTAGCCAAAGAGGCAAAGGTGCTGGATGCAGAGCAAGGTAGTAAAGGGGAGAGATCAGGCCTCCCCCCTTTGAGACAGTTCTAAGAAGCTTTTCTGGGTTGGTCGGGGGGCCTTGGTTTTTTCCCCGCAGAAGCAGTGTCCTCAGGCAATTATAGCCACACGCATTTTGGACAGTTTGGATTGATCACAAGTTATCCAGATGTGGGTGTGAGTTGGTTTAGGCTTCCTTTGCTTGGGAGAGTTGTTTTAAAGGCAAACCAATAGGAAGTCACCCTTGTTCGGTACCGGAATTTTTGAACGGATAGAATTCACCCAGCTCTCCGGTTGATATCCAGCTCCTTCAATTTGTCGAATGCAAACGTCCATATATGAACGCTGGGCATGAAGTCCGGGTTCGTGGATCTCGTTGTTCTTTACGGCATGGGGCGCCAGGCCATATTCGGGAAACATGGCCACGGGCACACGCCAAAAAAGAAGAAGCACGGAGCAGCTTCGGATTCGACGGCCAGGCGGCCGTGGCGAAGGAGTGTCAGCAGCTGGGGGCGCAAGGGGTGGATGGCGTCCAGCTGTCCCCGGTCACCGAGCACGTGGTGGGGGACCAGTGGTGGGTGAGGCCGGACAACCTCGGACTTGAAGGGAGATACCCGTGCTTCCTTCCGGGTAGTAAGTGGGTAACGACCGGGTCCCGGCCTTTCTTGAGTTTGATTTGTTTTTTTGGATTCCCTGCATTTCGCCTTTTTTCTTTTGCTGGTTCATAAGTTCTCACTGCCTATTGGGCCAATGCTATGAAAAGAGTTGTCCTTCGGTGGGCTGCTTTTGGTGGGGTGATGGTTAAAGGGAAGAAATTGAGCCCTGTTTGAGAGGCTTCTTGGTGGATGTGGGCACGGAAATGCGCTTTGACAAGCATGTCAGGTGGATTTGTTTGTTTTGGTCATAGTGTGTGAAAAAGGCACATACCAATCAACAATAGTTCTGGCTCAAGGAATGTGCGAACTTATTTGCATAATTGTGTGTTTTGCCATAATTCGTTCCCAGCCTGAAGCAAATGATGACCAATTATGTGATCATCATGGTGAGCTCGCTTGGCCCAGGTGAGCTCGCCATAGCTCACCATAAGATCAAAGGGGAAACTATAGCTTCCAAGTTTTACAACCCAGACCTGTGGATTTGAGATTTAACTTTAGTTCCGGACCTCATGCGGAAGCAAATTCGCATAAGTCTTACCAAGTATGGATCAGAGGCAAGCATACTCTTTTGGCTGCGGGCAGCAATAAAAACCAGGTCCAGTTAACGTTGGTGGCACGTGTTTCCCCTTTGAAATGGGAAATTTGTTTGGTTCTGACTCAGCATGGTCAGCTCCTAAAAGGGGTCTACCAAAGCTGGGCTGGGGCAAACTAGGTCCTGTTCTCAAACGCGTGGGGGCATATATGCGTCATTTTGGAGGCTCGGTGCCCCTCTCGGGGCTGAAAAGCGGAAACCACAGGTGATGCTCGCCAACAAGCGCCTTGGAAAACAAGCGCACCGGGCACTCGAACTTTTTAGACTACTGCACCCACGCACTAATCACCCACTGCCCAACCACTGGCCAACCACTAACCGACCACCAACCACACACCACCTTGGGGCGCGGCAGGTACCAGCCAGTGTCCTTCTCCCTGAACAGCCGCAGCGGCTCTGCCGCCAACCTGCGCCACGCAGTCGCTGCCTGCCGCAGCGCAGGCGCGCCGAGGGCGCCGAGTGCGCCGAGCGAAGAACGCGCCTTCGGACCCCAACCCAGACTGCATTTGAGTGGGCGAACATGGTTGTTCCCCAAGGGTTCTGCAGGCTTTTGCGCCAATCTGGACACTGATTTTGAGCCAGGTTCCTTTTTGCCTGATTCTAAGTTGCAACGTTTGAAAGGGAAATGCAGCCGTCCCACAAACCTTCAATTGCTTGGAACAGTTGGTTTCTTAAAGTCCCTGTTTGTTCGGTTGGTTCTCCATCAAAAATGGTCAACCCCCGAACTGGGTTCTCCCTTTGTACCTTTCGGGACTCTATGCAAGTGGAGACTCGAAGTGAGCCGATTTCCTAAAGGAAATCCATGCGGACAAGTTGACCCACTCTCCCAAACTGCGTTGGAGTCCCCCTTTAAAGTCCCTTCTTGCTGGTGGGTTCCCCACAGACAATGGAATCCACCCCAGGCAAAGGTTTTGTACCCTCTGAGACGCTGAGCAAGGCAAACTTGAAGGTTTTTAGTAGGCGCCGTCACTTTGGCCAAGGGCCGATCAATGTCAGTTGGACGGGAGGAACCGAGCAATCAGTAAATCATGGTGTGCCGGTCTTTTTGCTGGTTGCGCACTCGATTGATGCCTCGCGCCGAACTTCAACCAAAAGCTTGGGCACATGAAAGGTGTAGGGAATGTGAAGGCTTGATGGTTTGAGGCGAGATGTTGAGATGTTCCGTTTGAAGACTCGTGCTATATCAGCATTTGCTCAAACGCGAAGATTATGCCAAACCTTCCTTTGGGGGAGTTCGCCAGAGAACTTATGGATTTTCTGGTTTACTGCAACCCTTCCGCGTGTTTCGGTTTCTTGGAGGGTTCAAGTACCCATCGAGAATGGTTTTTGAAAGGAAAAAAGGAATATCTCCTTAAAACGTACCAAAGGAGCCTTTGTGGTGACATGGCCCCAAACTCGCAGGTTCAGCTTTTGGTGGGATGCGATGTGCCTTTTAAATCCGAGCATATGGGTGTGGCTCAAAATGTAACTGCTGGGGTTACGCAGGTTTTTACCAGGGTTCCATTTTGGACCCCCCTTTTTTGAGCCACACTCATATACCAAAGCCAACGTGGCCTGTGGTTTCCCATGGCCACTGGAGATCTGGGTAACTTGGTTGGAGTGTTCTTGCAGGCGTGGAGGTTGTGGCAGACGTGGTGCTCAACCACATGGCCCGGCCATGTCCTGAAGCGGAGAACGCCAGGCTTGGCACGCCCTGCGCCGCTTGGCCCCTCCTGAGTTGTCACACGCATGTCACCCCAGTGGCCCAGTGGCACCCATTTGTCTTTGTTTGGGGGAAGGGTTTCCCTTCCGAGTCACCCACAAAAATGTTGCCGATTTGCCCTTATGGCCTTTGGGCTCTTGAGACGCCCAGCTCTTCAGTGGCAGGACGTGTCCTTTGCATCAGCTTGAGGAACTTTTGACGGCCTGGGTCCATTGCAGACAGCATTTCGCCGGGTTGTTGAAACCCAACTTACAAGATAGTTGTGCCAGATGGTAGCGGTTTCCCTTGTGCAGTGTGGCCCGAAAGATGGTGCCAAAGGAAACAGCCGCGACTACAGGCTACATGTTCAACCTTTTGCTCCAGGTGCTTGCACAGCACCTGGATGGCAAGTCCTAGTAATTGTTAGTCGTAGTTGTGGCTTTTGAAAAGCGTTGATATCATAGCATATCAAAGCATGCGGCGGATCCATGCGTGGTCCTCGCGTGTTCTTTCCTGCGCACGCTCTTGCCTCAGGTGGGTTGGAACGGAACCGCCTACGGCAACCGCAGGACGGCAGGCGCGGTTTCGCGCCAGGTCCAGGGTTGGGTCGCGGACGTTTTTTCAAGGGTGCATCCACTTCCATTTGGCCAAGAATATGTGCATGTCCCCTGTTGGTTTAGAGGGAACCTATTGCTATTGGCAATGTGTTTTCCCTGTACTTCAAAGACGCTAGTAAACTATGTCTTTACAAAAGGACGGTGTTTTACCCAAAAGACGGTGTTTACCCGAATGTTGCCCGTGAATGGGGTATTTGTTGACTAGGCCCACCTGTGAAGTCAGCTGGGCTCGGAATTGAAAGCGCTACCAAAGGCCCGGTGATGCAACATGCATGCCTGCATGCCAATGGCATATTTCCCATGCATGTGACAAGGTAAGCCTTCATGCTAGCTATGTAGCATGCATGGATATGGATTCCATGGATCGAGATCACCTTGGCCACATGCAAGTATTTCTCTGCTGCGCTGCGTAGCTCACGCGATGGCATCAGCACGCAAGAAGTCACACTCCAAGCATCACTGCGCAACAACGTGTCTTGGGTCGGGTATATGGGCAGGGCTACCGCCTAGGAGGTGGTAATTCGATGCTTGTAGGCTAGCTATGTTGTATGGGAATTGCAGACAATGTCAATTTTTATTTGTACGCTTCGCCAATATCATTGACAAATCGGAGACCGTGAGCCAACCGTGAGTTTTGCGTGAACGACGGAGTTTACCCGTGAAAGACGAGTTTTCCCGTGAAAAAAGCGTGAACTTGCCCCCCCGAATAGATCCAAATGCCACAGCCTGCTGATCCGGTCTGCAACAATTGCATGCCAGCCATGTGGCGCGGACAAGATCCTTGGGTTCGCAAACATTGCCCGCAATGTTTCCACAGCTAGCATTTGCGCATTGTACATTGGAATTTTCTGTGTGCATTGTGCGTGGCAAGCGCGGACATCAAATGTCAGTCTACTTCTCAGCACGGTGCTAGTACTCATAGTTTACAAGCCAGCCCCCCTCTGAACCACCCCCCCAAAATAAATAAGGGCTGATTAGGGCTTATTAGGGGCTATTTTTTGAAGCAACTTCCTGAAGCCATCGGCGCTCGGTAGCCAACCCGCCCGCCGATTGGATTTCATGTTGCTTCAGTTTGGCTTTCAGTTTCTGTTTCTTCAAATTCCCTAGGCGCACTTTCAGGGTTCCCTTGAATTGGGCTTTACGTTTGTCTTATTCTTGCCTTATTTCGTGCTATATGTTTGCCTCTTAATTTGGCCTTACTTTGGAAGGGGGGGGGGGTTCAGGGGGGGGTGGTTTTGCAATCTATGAAGTACAAGCCCTGAAGTGTAGATTGTGGCGTGCCCAGCCAGCCAATGGATGATCCTGGTGTAGTGCCTGATAAAAGCCCGCGTCCAACACTACACTACACATGCGCCTGGCACTATCATATCGGACATGCAAAATTGTGCGCACGGTATCCTTACCAATCTGGCGCAAAATGCGGTGGTGATGTCTCACTGTGCAGTGGCAGAACAAGAAATAAAACCGTGAGCGCCGTGAATGAGCGTGAAATTTCCCAAGACCATGTTTACTCGCTAAAGACGTATGAAACGATGTTTACTCATGTCTTTGCATGGCCTGGGTTTTTGTTGTCCACGGGATATGTAATTTGACGACTATGGTCATGCGGCAGCCTACAGTCCATGAGCAAAGAATGGGAGAAGGAATGGCACTGCATGAGTGCTTGGCAGATGGAAGCGCACAGGCTTCATTTCCGAAAGGAAAGTTGTTTTTCAAAGGAGGTTCGCGTGTTCATCTTTGCTCGTGGCAGGGTAGGGGTGGCGATGACTAGAGGTGCAACGTTGCCGGCATTGTTGACGCATGCGGTGGGAGGTCCAGATCAAACTAGCTTGCGCCAACTACAGATGTTAGCCGTGTGCATTGAGCGTCGCAGTGCAGCCATTCTTGGCAGAGTGGTAGCCATGTGGGTGTGTAGTTCTCAGGGACCCCCCAAAATCATAGGATTTAATCCCATGTTTCTTCAATTGAGCCTCATAGAACCCTTATTTGAAGCATGTTTGGTTTCCTTTGGATTTCCACCAAAACAAGGTTCTCCAAATAATGGAACACTCGTGGAGGATAAAGGGGCAACATTACTTCCCGGATAAATTTAGGGTTAAGGCAGAGGGTTCTAAGGATTGGTCGAAAAGGCGCGGTTGAGGGCAAGTTTGGGTTGGTGTTTCGGCGAATGCACTCAGTTTTTAGAATGGTTTTGCGGCGTGCTTCAAAGCCAAACTAAGCTGTGATCAAGGAGGAACGTGTGAATTACACGCTTATTCCCAGTCATGCTCTTTCCTTTTTTGCTGATGCGATTGGCAAAGAATGAGAAATGGACTGACGCTAAGCCATTGAACTGGGGGTTTTCTAGGGGACCAAAGCCCGGGTTCCTTCAACCACATTCTCTACCTATCGCACCAGCAAGAAACAGAGCCTACTTCCCACGAGGCTTTAGCACCAACTGGATGGCAGATCTGTGGCAGGCGCCAGAGGCTGGGACAGAGCCAACACCTCCTTCTTCCACCATCAGACGGGCCATGTGGCTCGGCTTGACTTGAGGCAGGCAGGCAGGTTGGGACAGAGTTCCTTTTTTGGGGCTGCATTTGTTTGCTTGCTTCTGATTTTGAGGGAGCATATATGAAATGAGCGGAAACCTTGGCCAGTTTTTTCCTGCACATGATCGGAATCGGCGAGCGGACGTGAGAACCATTTTCCAATTGAGTGTTTTGTTTTGGTAATTTAGTGTTTGGGCTGAGATGAGTTTGTTTGGCTCGAAACGGGGGAAAGGTGTCCCGAAAGACCCCCGGGTGGTGGCTTGGAAACGTCTGGGGCCAGTTTAGTGACGCTGAAAAGGGAGATAGGGAACCCTGCGGCGAAGCTTTCGATTTGAGCCTATACGAACAAACCATGGTACCAATTTGGTGAACGGTTGCCTTTGGTTCCCCTTGTTCAGGAATATATTCGTGCTTTTCACTTCGGAACTGGGACCTTATTCACCCGTCAAGAATCAGTTAGAGAACTGAACAGCAGGGACACCAACACGGGTTTGGTACTCTTTATTTCTTGGGTAGCACCCGCGTTGGAAAAGAAACACCCAACCCGAAGATCCCTGGCACTGACGAGTGTCAAGACAAACTTGCCCACTGCAGTTCCGGATTTGACCTTTGATTTCCCTGCTTCGGTTTTCCCAAAACCCAAAACCCCCTCCCCGGAACCTGTGAACCTTCGAATCCCCCCCACCCCCACCCACCCCCCGCGCCTGGCACCGGATGCCAGCGCGGCATGCCAAGGACACTTGGGGCCAATGCGGCGTGGGGCCTGAGACAGGCCTGGGCAGCTCGAAAGCGCAACCTCCGAGGCCTTTTTGTGCGTCAAACGGCTAATATGCACGTCAAAACCGTTTTCCTCCTCTAGGTCCCCCAGTAGTGCTCTGGGGGGAGGGTTCCCCTTCTAAAATAGACTAAAGAAAAAAGGGTACCTTATTCTACCTCCCTACTGGAGGACCTAGTCTTGGTGTTGCTTTAAGCCAATTGCTGAAACGGGTACCCTCCGAAACAACACGCACCCAAATCCGCAGGTTGGAATGGGGACGCAGACAGCTCGCATTTGCAGAGAAAGCTCCTTTCAAAACGCCGTGTTTGGGTTACAAATCACAACCCCCCTCGCGCCATCCACTGCCCAACCCCTTCAATCAGCCGCTGGGACGTGCCCTTTGCTCCTGTCAGGGGGGTTTCCTGTTGAAATCAGCTACACCACCGGCGCCGGAGTTTTGCCCATGGAAATCCAAAGGCTTTGTTGAGAGAGGTTGCTCAGGCACACAAGTTGCGTCCTTGGGAGAACAGGGAATATCTCGTCGATCTTTTCTGAGTCCGGGAGCTGGAATCAGAAAAAAAAACAAAAAAAAAAACGGAGAATTATAACTTTCATGTTTTAAACATGAAGTCACTCTGGAGTTCCTAGAGGCTGAAGGTCAAGAAGATCAAGAAGTCAGATAGTATGGTAATGGGAACCCAGGACTTGTAACTTTTTCGGTTGGCCACCCATAGAGAATCCTGCACTTTTAGCGAGCGATCCCAATTCAGATGCATCCGAAGTGACCATGGACTTCGGGGGCTTCACGTGGGGCTATCTCAAAAGAACGACCCCCAACATTGGTGGAACGACCCCCCAAAATTGGTGGGTTTTTTGGCTTTCCTTTCCGCCAACCCCAAAAAAGGGATAATTATACCCCTCGAAGGCACATGCGTTTAACGCGCTGAGTCGCCAGGCTTTCTGTGCGGCTCCCCTGTGACAACTGACTGCAGCTGCTGCCCTTGCGACATGCCATCACCTCAGAGCGCCACCTGCAGCCTCAGTCCTTGAGCCCTTCCTCAACTTGCCTCAGAAAGCCAGGGATTTTTTTCAAAGTGATTTCAACCTCGAAGAAATACATCCGGATGAACAAGGGTTCCCTCAAATGGGAAGGATTCCCTCCAAACCTGACAACATCAACCAGGGCTCATTTATGAACCTGGCTTCCCATTGAAATGTAAAGGTGCAAGGGGGCCATTTTTGCTTCAGACTTGTTGTCTGCTTGGTTGGACCTTGAGCCTTTAACTTTGGAGCATCTCCTTTTCCCAAGAATTTAGTTGCACCTGTTGCACGGGCAATAACCGCAGAGAAGGTGTTTGTTGAGCGCTGTGTTCATCACTTTGGGCCATTCGTGTCAACTTGGTTGCCCATGTTGACTTAGGACTCCCCATTTCATCCATCCGGTTCCAGCAAATCAGCTACATAAACCACTGAGTGCTGGAAGGTTCGGTCAGCTGAGCGCTGAACAGCTGCATGGTAGCCCAGGGCCAAGAAGCACCAACAAAAAGCAAGCGAAAGGAGAAAGCCGGGCCGCAATTCCGCCATTCCTCGGGATTGAGGAGCGTAATGGCTCGGACCTGGGCTGTCCACTGGCTTCGATTTGGTAGTTGTCAGCTTGGGGCTGATTTGCGCGAGGTGAGCGGCAAGCCAACCCAAACCGACCCAAAGTCAGCTTAAGCCCACCCAACATCCTGGATATCAGCACTTTGCCGAGCCTGAATGGCCCCCATTACCATCTCCACTCCATCTCCGCAAGCCCCAAACTCACCCCGAAACCAGCCCCAAGCCACTGTCACGCGCCACCAAATCAAAGCCAGCAGGCAGCCCCAGGTCCGAGCTAGGCCGGTGCTGCGGATGCGGCTGGCCAACCCGACCCACACCAGGCTAAGAGTGAAGCAAGGGTTCCCTGCCAACCTAGAGGCACATAAGGGGAGGCCTTGTGCTGGCCCGGGGCTTATAAAAAGCCGGGGCTAGTAGCAAAAACACAACTAGGTCCTGATGTTATTGTTTAGCCTACCCGCCAGAGGTTTCCCCTCACTCGATTTTTGCCCGAGTTTTTTGTAACCTGATGCTGTATTTTTGTTTCTGCAGCTTCCTGAGCCGAATGCTCACGGCTTTCTTTCCCCACTCGGGTAGCTCTGAGGTATGGACTTCCCGACTGGGACTTGGCTGAGCCGGCAGTGCAGGAGATGCACACCAGGCGGGGCAGAAGTGGTGAGGTTTCAACCGACATCTGCAAAAGTACTCCAACTTGTGGCTGAAAAAAGGGACATGTGACATGCACCTGGTTCCAAGAGTAACTCTGCTCATGGCTATTGATGGTTTGGGAATCTTGGACGTTGCGAGCTGGGAGGCGTTCACAAGAACCTCGGATTATCTGTTTGATTGGCTGGCCTGAAGAGCAGCTCTTGCAAGAGCTTAGACGTGTGGTTTGCCTGCCGGAGATGCGTGGGGTTTGCTTCTGGGTGGACCTTCCTGTGAACTCCCTCCATTTGGAGCCGCGGTGCACCTTGGATCCTGAGCCACTTTGGAGCAATGCAAACCGAAGGATGCAGCTACCAAGGTTTTGGACACGCCAGCTGATCGAAGTCTTTTTTGGGTTCGGCGATGCATTCAGAGGGTCTCGAAGCAAAAGCCAAAGCTGTATCCCCAACAGCCCGGCACCTCGCATGGAATCTAGCACCCAACCTCAGGGTGGGAAAATTGTCATAGCTATCGCTGTTGCTGAACTGCATCCCTGCAACACACGACTTTCGTCATATCCCAGCAAGTGTCCCCCAGCCCAAGTTCAAACCCTCAGGGTTTGAGATGGATTTGTTGGTTTGATAGCTACAGATAGCTACAGCGAGCAGGGCGTAATCTTTGCTCGAGGTGGCTAGTGGTTTGGGGTTGGCATACAACATGCATACTCGGTGATTTGAGTTGTTTTGGCACCAGTTGGTGTATTGGCCAACTTGCACACCCCAAATGGACATACCCCAAATTAGTACTTATACGTGGGATATGCAGGATACATACCCCAAAATTCATCCTATCTAAGGCTTATGGTGGGGTATGTCCATTTGGGGCATGTAAGTTGGCCTTTAGAGGTTGGCTTTGGTGGGCAGGCACTTGGAAGAGCTGCACAGCATGGGCATCACCATGCTCCGCAGCTCGGATTGGCTTTTGGGTCCGCTGGACTGGGTGGCCGGGCCCCGCTGCGTGTAGTTCACTTGCCCTGACGCCAGCAATGCCTCGAGGGACCTCAGGGTGTATCTTTCAAGGCTGAAAAATGGCCCTGGTAGGATCCGTCTCAATGGGGAGAGCCTTGACCATGGAGCTTTTGCTCGAATGGAGGCTTGATTTGCCGGTGGTTGAGCAATAAGTTTGCCTGAGCCGACTGGTCAATCGAAACAACATGCTTGTAGGATTCCACCTGGAGGTGTTTTTTGTTGAGATTCGCTGGCCATGGGTTGATATGATGCTCACTGTTCATGGCCTGTGCTGCCCAAAGCAAAGACTCCAACTCTCCAAGCCCCTTGGAGCTTGGGGGATGGGGGAGATGCAGCCAGTGAGAGGCTTGCCAGTCCTTTCCAGTGCGAAAGATGACGCCTCCACATGGCCATGGGCCAAAATCAAAATCGTACCCCCAGTGAACATCCCAATCCCTACAACAATAGACTAAAATACTTGCTGCACCCACCCCAGAATGGTACCATTGGTTTTGACCCACAGCCACATTGAGGTTTTGTCATTCTCTTACAGGCCAGGGAGGGGGTACCTTCTACTTTCACGCTTTATGCTTTGGGCGGAGGTGTGGATGCGGCACTCTACATGGAGTCGGAACTCATGTCTGGCATCCTGAACCGCTTCCCGTGGGACATGGTCTATCAGGACCGGGCGGCCAGTGGAAATCCGTCGCGTGAGAATGTTCTCGCGGCGGCAGGCGGGGTGCCAGCCGAACATTGTTGGGTGCCAAGAAGGCTCAGAACTACCCATGTTCTAAAGAAGGGATGGACTTGTTACTTTCGGGATCCTCCTTTAACGTTGTCATGGTCATAGCGGGGCCACAAACTTCTTATCCAATCCCTTCCAACCAATTTCATTTGCTGAGTTCGAAGGCCGGACGTTGGGACAGTCCCGTTCAGCGCTTGTCCGCCTAGAGTGATGTTCAAGTTTGGTGCGCCTCTTCAGCCGTGGCAGCCTCTTTTCAAGGGATCCTTGAACAGGTCCTACCAACTGCCCCTTTTCGTTGGACTGTGCCCATAGCTTCCCTCCAGAAGTGCTCATAGGTGCTGTCCACTTGCCACCCTTCTAGCCATGGTGTCACAACCTTACCCGAGCAAGCGATGAGCAACCCCGCAGGAGTGGTGGCACGAGCTCCCAGTGCCGGGACGCGAGGTCTTCGGCCTCTACCGCGACCTCAAGTTCATGCGCCGCTCCGACCAACGAGCTGAGCCAATTTTGGTCCCCGGCCTTCGCTTTGCTTCGGAGCGTCCGGCTGGGTTGGTTGATTCCACGGAAAGGGTGTCCAAAAGATGCTCAAAACTCAATCGTGACCCGGTGGCTTTTCTGACAACAATGTAGTTGGTTGTTCTTTCTTGCATCCAAATCGATTTTGTTCTTTATGCCACATTGGTAATTTGTCCCCTGGTTCAACATTCACACACACATATGTATATATATATATGCGTCCCACTAGTGCGAATCGGTTTTTGGGGTTGGTGCGCTTGGATGAAAAAGGCACGTGCCCTTCTTGGCGACATCTCCGCCGTGCTGGCCCCGACTTCGTGTTTCCACGTGGTTTCATTTACCGGGTCACCTTCATTCACAACCCCTGAAACGAATCCTAAGTGAGAGCGATCCACTCGCTTCTCGTTAGGAAGTGAATCAAGGTAATTCCCCCGTGGCCTTCGAGGTTACACAGTGAAAACAGAAGACAGAGCCTCAGGCCGCGCTGCCGCAGAGATGCACGACGCCGCCCAGGCCGGTTCATGGCCCTCTTTGCCGTTTGTCTGGAGGGGGGTTCCTCTTTTGAATCAACAGAACCAACAACATGGGACTGGTTTTCCCAATGCCTCTGCGTCCGAGTCAGGCAGCCCCCGTTTGGGGTAGTTTTACTGGCAAACCAAAGGGAAGGCTGGTCCCCTTCCTTGAGTCACGCCAAATTCAAACAAGCACACCCTGCATATGTCTTTAGAGTTGCTCCCATTTGTTGTAAGAGGGGTCAAACACACATGGTCTGAATGTTCTGGCAATCTGCAAACGGTGTTGGTGAATCATTGATGTGATCATAATTTTAATGCTTTGTATATTTGAAGTTTTTCTGGTTCTGACTAGCAGACAATGCGATCCGTATGGGTAAGAGTGGGAATGTACACTCTTGTCATTCTCTAGAACGGCTCAGCTCGGATTTAGGCTCGTCCCTGTTTTCCCTTCGGAAGCAAGCCCTGGTAAGAGTGGAGGGGCGGGGGGCTTAGCTGGCTTTGGGAAAAGAGTATCCACGCGGCTGAGTCCTGACTGGAAATTAAAGCTGAATGCGGGGATAAACCTAACTTTACAGCCTCCGGCTCAGTCCGCCGACATTGTCCTCTCCCTTTTCTCCTTCTTCCTGTCTCCCTTGTCTCCCTTGTGTGTTCCTCCCTCTGCTCCCCATCCTCCCCATCCCCCCAAGCCTCTCTCTCCCCAATCACCCTCTCTCGTATGTATGTATGCATGTTTATATGTATGTTATGTAGTGTAGTGTAGTGTAGTGTAGTGTAGTGTAGTGTAGTGTAGTGAGTGTAGTGTAGTGTAGTGTAGTGTAGTGTAGTGTAGTGTAGTGTAGTGTAGTGTAGTGTAGTGTAGTGTAGTGTAGTGTAGTGTAGTGTAGTGTATGTATGTATGCATGTAATGCATGTATGTGTAATGTATGTATGTAATGTAATGTAATGTAATGTAATGTAATGTAATGTAATGTAATGTAATGTAATGTAATGTAATGTAATGTAATGTAATGTAATGTAATGTATGTATGTAATGTAATGTATGTATGTATGTATGTTTGTATGTATGTATGTATGTATGTATGTATGTATGTATGTTTTCGCCATGAGGACGTCCAAAAACACAGAGTTTTCCAGATTTTCGGCAACAGGAGGCAGGAAGCCCAAGCCAGCAAAAAAGCCGGCAGGGGGAATCGAGCCTGGGACCCCTGTTTTGCGACACCGGCTCCCCGAAGACTACGTTTAGTGGAACGTCATCAAATTGCCGCGCGGTCGGAGGGGGAGGGGGGGGGGGTGGCGACCGAAAAACCATGCGTAATTGACGTGTCCTGGGGGGGGACTAAGAGCTCTAAGGGGGGGGTTATCCTCTATCCTCTCTTAGGTATCCGACACGCCGAACAATGTTGCGAGCTTGACAGGTTCTGAGCCTTCAACAAGGCAATTTCTACATCCCGGCGGAGGACGCAGTGTACCCCACCTGCCCTATGGCTTGAAGTGCGGGGCTAGGGTGAAGCCTCTCTCTCTCTCTCTCTTTATATATATATATTTATGGGTAGATGTTGCAAGTATGTCAGCAAAAAGTATCTAGCTAGAAACTATGGCAGGCGGTTTTTTTACTGCAAGCCGCTGCTGGGAAGCCAAAGGCCTGTAGAAGAATGGCCAGGTTTATACATGATGCAAACAAGCGCTACCCGCATGTGAGGTATGTTCAAAAATGGAAGATACCAACAAAAACACAAGGGATGGTAGAGGCCGCCCGGTCTAGGTTTGAGTTTGGACCATCCCTACTCAAACATGCAAAATATACACCAGCGGGAGGGTTTTTCACCTCCGAGAAGCTGCGCGCAGTTTGTCGAGTCCTGTGGGATGTTGGGCCGTCCTCAAGGTAGAAAGCACGGTCTTGGAATTTTGTGTTTTAGGTCCACTCCTGCAGCACCAATGGAATTCCCTGCGAAGTGGGACAGTTTGATCTTGCGGAACAAGCATGGGCAAACCAGTAGCAGGACCATGCCAAACATACGGCTGAACGCAGTGTTACTTGTCGCCAAGAAAGTGGCTGAGCAGGCTCAAATGCCCGCTGACGGCGCAGACCGGGTCCTTAGTTTAGAAACGATCAGTTTTAACAAGCCTGCGGCCCATGCGTTCAAGCTCGCAGCTTGGGCAGTCTTGCGGTGCACAAGATGTTAGAGCAGTATCGCTCCAAGCCTTGCCAGGGTCGACTGTCTACTTGTGAAGGGGGAGGGACCCAGTCGCAGGATTTGTCCACAGCAATGGGCCTGATTTGTTGTTTTGTGCGTGTGTTTGTGCGTGAGTTTGTTTGTTTGTTTGTTTGCTTGCTTGCTTGTTTTCTCCAACGCTGCTTCATTATGCTCCGTCCCGTTTTGTAAGTTGCTGTCAATATATTGGTCCCACAAGTCTTGTTTCTTCCTGGAGCCAACTCGCAAGGGGATTCTTCCAGCATAATATGGATATTGTATATATATATATATATATGTATATCTCGTCCTGTTTGGGATACTTCAGACATCTCCTTGTTGGCCATTTGTATGTCTTTTTGTTGGGAGATGTTTAAAGGGCCCATGCCTTTTTTTTAAGACACCCAGGTTTCCAGGATGGCCGCAGCGACGCGGCGACTTGGCATGTCGAAGTGGGTGGTTTGGGTGGTTGAATCGGACCTCCAGAGGCAAAGGCGAACTCCCAACCCCACTTAAGCCGTGTTTTTGGGATTTTTTTTCTGGGATGTTTAGTTTGACGCGTGTTTTTATGTGGAATGCCTTGGCACATGCAAGTTCTCAAGCAGGCGTAAGGCGCGAACTGTTTCCTCCGTGTTGTCGGGCGTGGGCCTGTTGGTTCAGAGCAAATCTGACACCCTTCTAAAATACAGACACTCACTTTTTGTTGTTCAGTGGCGCCGTCAAAATCGCTTGTTGTTTGGTAGGGCCCAATGGAATGAACCCCAAAAGCCATGGTTTTCTGTTTCTGCCCTGGGGCATCAGTGGGGCCAGCCTCGGCAAGTGGCACGAGTTGAGCTCATCCAGTTGGAACGACAAGAATGTTTCTTAACAATGATCTGGAAATGGGTTCCCCACAAATCAAGCAACCCCCAGACCCTTTTCGGACTTTCAGCTCCCCGAAGTTCAGCAACTCGATCTATGTTCATTCGCTTTGGATCTTCGCACGGTCCGCCCAAGGCTGATCCTACGGTTCCAACCTTCAAGCCACTTGCCTGCAGCCTGGCTCCTTTTTACGGTCTCGACCGTGAGAAGGGTGGAGAAGAACTGAGTGCAAACAAGCTGCATATGTATCATATGCTTTCCTTGTAAGAATGCCAGGCATACGCTCACCGCAAGCATAGTCTGCTTCAAAAGGGAATCCTTCACTTTTGCAGCTAACGCGCCTCATATTGGTCCGCAAGGCTTACTAATTCGGGTAGGCCTTGTGAACGTAGGACACGATGGGCACCTCACTAGAACCGGGTGGTGTGCACCCAACTACAGGTTCCTTCCCTGCTTCCCTTCAGGTAGAAGTCGGACTCTGCCCCCACTAGCAGTCACTAGCAGATGGAAGCTTCGATTCACCCCTAAAATGCTCCAAGCAAAATCGTGGTGAGTGTGAAGAAATTGTCCTAGGAGAATCTTGTTTGGATCGCAATGGGCAAAGACTCCACGGACTTACTTTGCTGCTGGGGCATACAACTAGGGGGTTGAACAAATACGAGCCGTGTGCACCCTGGTTCCAAGGTGCAAGTAGTAGCCCCGTATGACCGGAAGTCGGAAGCTGAGGAATGGCTTGGCCTTCCACCAGCAGCAGAAGTTCCTCTTGGCCTCGCCTTTCCCAACCACGGTGGTGCTTTGGAGTGGCTACAGCTGGCAGAGCATCGAGCAGGGCCCGCCAGGCGGATCGATGTTCAGTTGGAGCTTAAGGCTTGGGCAAGGTGCGTTGAAACCACCAGACCATAGGTGTCCTTTTTGGTTGTTTTGGTCGGAAAAATTAGATGGCCCTGGTTTACCTGATGGTTTAATCATCTTCCACGGCCATCTATTTCCCCTAAAAGGACACCTTTGCACAAGATCCTTGTCCCAGAGAAAAGCATCAGCAGAGGCTTTGAAACGTAGAGCTTGACACAGGTCTGTGCCAAACAACCCTGCACTCTGGATCTTACTCAGGGTTCGGTTGTCCAGTTTTAACATTGCTTTGCTTCGCAATGGCCCAGGGGATGGTGAAACCACTCGAATTTCAAGGAGACATACTTCAGGAAGCCTGCCGTTCTCGGGCATGCACACGCTGCCATGGTCCTTTGATCCGTTTGCCTTTTGGGTTTCCTGCTCTAACCGGGGAAGAGCAAACAATGGCCAAACAAGTCCAAACTGGGTGCTTGCCACTGACTGGTTGTCCCAAAAGTCCAGAAACTCGGATGTGAGCCAAGCATTTCTATTTGGGATGGGCTCAAGCGTATAGCGCTCTCACAGCTTCGGGGTCCGTCATGTCAGATTGAAGGTTGGCATTGGGCGCAGGAAGCAAGAATTTCAACGGATGTGTCACTCTGTCTTCTTTTTTCGTTGGTGTGTTTCCCTCCCAAAACGACTGAAAGGGCGGCCTCTTTTCCCGGCGTTGGTAACCAAGGGAACTGCCTGAAGGACCAAAAGGAGTTGTCCTGCTTACCCATAGTGTAGGTAACCCAAGAAAGATTCGGCCCAAGAGCGCAATGAACTCTATCTGGGTATGGGTCGAAATGAAGTCATCAAAAGAACGACGCAGGTTTTGGGGCCTGTGTGTCAAACACTCATGAAGTGGTGACTTGGCTTTATTTGTTTTGCCAGGCGGCGCAGGCGGCGAGGAGTGCATGGCGACGCCCAGTGCGTCGCCCCTGCCCCTGGAGCTGGCGTCCAGCCGGCGCTGGGTGTGCGAGCACAGGCCAGGGCGAAGCCATCCAGGGCCAGACTGGCGGGAGTTGCTTGTGGTTTTTCGTTAGGTCATCCTTTGGCTCACTCCCAAAGAAAAAATGAGAAATGGCAGCGCCCAAAAATTAGGGAATCTGGGTGGAAGACGAGAAGTGGGCTCTGGAACGCCCACTCTGTTGAAATTCTGGGAAGGGTGAGTCCCGAAGTCCATTCATAGTTCCATTTGCCTTTTGGCAGATAGATGGAACTGCGGGCCCCCGCGGCCTTTCCACAAGGGAATGCTTTGGATGGCCGCCTTCGTTGGGATGTCAGGCTCGCTTCTTATAAGTAAGCTCTTTTGCCACCCCAACAAAATATAGAAAGTAGGGTTGAGGCCGGTTGCTACAGTGCAGGAGTTTTATGAGTTTTGAAGTTTGACGAGTTCTGCTTGGTTATTTGTGTGATTTCCTTGGTTAGTGTTTGGCTGGGTGGCTACGCTCCAGCTTTCTCTTGGAAAATGGGTATTGGGGCTGCATGTTGGACTTTCATGAGCGGCATGGGTTCGATTACGATGCGCAGAAGACTTGTGCAAAGCAGGCTGGTGAAAAAGACGCGCTTGCTTTGCCGGAAAACGGTGCCAGCTTTCAACACGCACACTCTGCAGTGGTTGCTTGCTGCTTGGCCAGGAGTGGTTGATTTAGGGTTTGGGATTGGTTTAGTGCAGGCAACTTTTTGTTGGATTGGTTGGCGGTTAGTCCCCCCCCCCCCCCGCCTGGAGCGAGCTGTTTGGCCAGGTGGCAGGGAGTCGCAGGCCTCATCCACTTCCGCAAGGCGTGCAGGAAGGCCATCACCAAGTCCTGGGCAGGCGCGGTAGAGGGGCCTCCCACCAATTATGGCTTGATTGCTACTGGCTTGAATCTTCAGACTTTAACTTTCCGGCTTTCCATTGAGCCCACAGAGCTAAACTTTTTTGCAGAAGGGTCAACAGCAACCAAGGGTCATCTAGTTCAACCCACATGCTGATTCAGGTTGGACCTTGGTTTTTGGCAACGCCGGTTCGAAGAGAAACCAAAAAGGAGCACCATCTTGGAGGATCGTTACCCTCACAAGGGGCATTCTTATCTGTACTCATCATGCAACAACCGATGAGTGAGCACACCGAAGGAATCTCTTTCACGGGATCGTAACAACTTTGCAGAAATCTCCACAATTCTCCACAGGTTAACTGAAGGAACCGCAAAAGCACCCATGTGGCTGTGGGTCAAAACCAATGGTACCATTTTGGGTAGGCGCACCACCCATCTTGGTCTATTTTAGTCACTGGGGGCCCGGGATTTTGACCCACGGCCTAGTCGAACTCCATCTCTGCACGTCTTTCCCTCCTTCGGCGCGAGGAAAAAACGTGTCGCCAGGCGCGTGTGTCGGCTGCGGGGCGCTGCGCCTGGGCGCGGGCTGCTTCCTGGCACTCGCCGGGCCAGGCTTCGGCCATCGGCTTCGCATCACGAGGGGGGTCCGGGGGGTGGCGCTGAAAAACCTACGCGGAAGGCTAGGCAAATCAACTACAGCGATGGCGCGCGCGCTTCGTTCGCTGTCTTTTGGCTTGTTCGAGTTTGCCTGTGTCCTTTCTCTTTCTCTTTTCGTTTTTTTTGTTTGGTCCTCTTTTCGCGTTTGAGGACCCTGCCCTCCCGTGACCCATTGAGCCAGCCAGTACTTCCTATTTTCTGCATCCGCGCCACCAGGCTTGCGCCAGCGCGCCCCGAGACGGCACGCTGCAATCCTTCTGAGCGATTGGGCGCAGTTTTCTAAGGACGACCCACCCCAAGTGCACAGGGTTCACCGTTCACCCCTGAATCTTCCAGGGGTGCATTTTTCCAGCCGTTTGCCGAAACAGCTCTTTTCAGTCCTTTGGTCGAACAAAACCAAAGCTTTTTCACTGCTGAACTTAAGTGTTGTTTCATGTTTGGTCCGAAACATGGTAGAGGATTGTCGCCGTTTGGTCGGGTTGTCGCCGTTTGGGCGGGCAAAGTCGGCGTTTCGACTTTTCTGCAGAAGAGTTGTGGCTTTTGTTGTTTTGTTTCTTTTTTTTTTCTCGAGTTTTCGTGGCTTTGGTGGCTTTAGCACGCCGCATCCTCAGCATCACCAGTATCACCCCCGGCAACACCGGTTTTGGGCTTCTTGGCTTTTTGGCTCTTAGCTTTTTGTCGTTGGTGTTCTGCAGGCCAGCAGGCCTCCCCCAAATGTGTTCCGCCCCCTTTGAGGCCAAGACCGCCAAAGGATCCCCGCCAGCACAGTTGATGGAATTCTGCTTTTCAATGATGTCTTTCATCAGGCGCGTTTTCCTTTTCAATCGGAAAAGCGTTCCCTGTGTTGGAAGTGCACTTCGAAAGTGGCATGGCCAGTTCTCAGTGGGCTGCTTCAAGGTTTAAGAGGATGTGCCTTTTTTCGGGAATCGGACCCCCAAAATGGCTTTGCTTTTCCCTTTGAACCAAGGCAAAGAGACGCACCCAAGTAGGCCTTGCGACTGACCGATTTGCAGATGGCTGGCAGCTGCGGCTGACCACGGGCCTACCTGGGGGCCGATACTGCGATCTCTCCTCCCTGGAGAACAGGCGCCTGGGTGTGGATGACAAGCCTTGGTCTTTGGGATTGCGGCGCGCGCCGCGTCACATGCTTTCTCAAAAGTGCGGACCGCTTTTGGTTGGCATTGCTAAGGGAAATGAAAGGACCCCCGCAATTTTTAGGGGGACCCTTATTTGAGAAGTTGTCAGGTAAGCAAGAAAAAGAGACACAAAAAGACGAGAAAGAGACGGACCAAGACAGCAAAAGAGAAAGAGAAAGAAGCGAAAGGGGAAGAGAAAGAGAAAACAGAGACAGACAACTATATTCGTGCATGTCTGAAACTTGCGCCAACCGGCTTCGCCGGCGTTTCTTCCAGGACCTGCGTGCGAGAAGTTCTCCTGGGCGACGAGGGCCGCATTCTGGAAGGAGGACTGAGGTCTCTTTTGGAAAGCTTTTACTTTGCCGGGGCAATTATGCGTAAGCAAGGGGTTGCAGATTGCACCATGGGAGGCAATCATGCGTGTCGCACTATCGAATCTATTTGTTTGAAACCTAGGGTCTCCCAATCCTGGCCCAGCATCAATATTAGTTGTTTGGTTTGGGGGCAAGAGCTGGGGTAGCTTCCGGGCCTCAGCAGGGATTGTGACCAAAACCACATACTAGAATTTCTTTACATTGCGCCCTTCCGGTTGGCAATGCCTAATCAGATGAATTTTGAACCATCAAATTCAGGGTTACAGCGCTCGCTTTTCCAAAAGCTTACCCGTTTTCGCTCCAGGAGTGCCCGCAGGGGATCTTCTCGCATCTTGGCCTGAAGCTCACTACCTGCATCTTCCAAATCATGGAAATTGAACGTAAAATCCGGAGACTACCGGTTTTTTGAGGGTCTCAGTGAAAAAACACAGAGTTTTCAAACTCCTGATTTTTGAGGTAAAACTCCTAGACATTGATTGTCGCTTCTGGAAATGGTTTGCACACCTGAAACCCCCTAGAAATCGCAACTATTCGGTACTTGACGGAAGGAACCCTCCAATTCAGAACCGTTCACCTGCATCAGAATCACTTATTCAGAATTCATAATTATTCTGAATTCGGAATTATTTCCTTTGGGCGACAAACCGGCAAAACCGGAAAGCACCACACCTGAAACTCAGCGCAAAACACCCGCAAACTCCCGCAAATCAAAAAAATACGGAGTTTCCGGAGAGTGCATAGTAACATCAGTGGAATACCCACTCGAGCGTGCAGAGTGGTACAATTGCGGGCCAAAACACAGAAAAAACAGAAGAACAAAAACAATACTTGCTTTCAATTTTCTTCCCGAAGAACCACTCCTGGTTTTTGATGTTCACTCTGCCTTTTGCAAGCCCCTCCTGCTTTTTGATTCATGCATTTGAAACACCTGAAACTGCTATAGTTTACAGAGGGTCTCCGCAGAACGGAAAAAAACAGAGAAATATCCCGGAGACGGAGGAACCAGGTAGGTGGTAGTGGGACGACCATAAAGGCTACAACAGGCAAAGCTTAGACAAACCAGGGTATCAGCGATACAGTAGCGGTTTTGCAGGCTGATGTTTTTGTTTCTTAGGTGCTCCCCTGTTGGTGTGCCAGGTTGATGGGATTTGTTTTCGGTGGTCCCCTGTCAATTTCTCAAACTTGTCGGGCATTCACACGTGCTTGTTGCGTGCAAGCTCCCCACAACCAGGGGCCCTCCATAAGCCAAATGGGAATGGACCTTGCTTCTCAGGGTGTTTGGAAGACCAAGGTTCAGTTCATGTCCAAAGCAAAGTTCGCCTGGAGCTCCTTGGATTTTCCCCTGCCACTTTTTGCCACCCAGGAGGTGGATTAATCAGATCCCATCCTAAACGGAGCCTTGCAATTAATCAGCAGTGACGTTTAATAAATCCTGGGTTCCTTCTACACGCCTGGACTTCCCGGCCTCCATATACTCCCCTTACGTATCCCCTCATCGGTCCAGGCAAAACCTATGTTGCACTCCCTTGCATCCCACCTGAGGCTATTTCCACCACGTGGATGCTCTGATCCCAGAGCTGCTGCATAGGAAAGCGCTTTCGCGCTTTGCCATGTGGAAAGCTGAATGACTCCCTTGAAATGGCCCCCTGCGGTTCATGGGTCGATGGCTCTCAATGCAACATGTGTCTTTCAAAGTTGTGTTTTTGGTTCCTATTTGCAGGGCGGCATTGCCCTACTCGGCCATATCATGCATGACTAATCTTTTAGAGGTGTTGAGAGTCGCGGTTGGACTGGGCAGGAAAAGTTGTTGACAGCGAATTTAGAAGGAGGCACGTGGTGTTGATCTTGCTTTGCATGGCTCTCAAGTGGGGTGGTGACAAGGTTGTTTCTCATTGAGGTTCCTCCGAGAAACTTGTTCCTCCAGGTTTCCTTGTTTCAGCCACTGGTTTATCCCAACACCTCTGAGCAACGATCCTTCCACAACGTCACCACCTCTTGGGGCCCATTAAAAAAAAAGATCGGTCATCCAAGAGGAGTGCGAACTAAACCTGCAGGCGGGGGTATTCTTACAAAACACATGCAGAGTTTGGGCCGCTCGCTTTTGTACGCTGAGCACGAAGCAGCGAGGCAGGCGCCCGAAAACCGCTCTGAATACCGGAGCGCAACGAACTGGTTGGTGGATATAAACCCCCACCGAGGTCCACCAAAGGGTCCCCTCGATTGTTCAGCAGGATCCGAATTCGGCCAATTCGCTTAGGCAATGAGAAACGCCAAGTGGGGTAGATCAAGCGAGCGAGGGCTGCATGGCCGTTTCCAGTATGTGTTCTTCAGTTGCGTGATCCTGAATTTATTTCGTCTTCCCTTCAAGCATCCAAAGGTCTGGCAATAGCCCATATGAGATGTTCCCAAGCAGCGGATGTGCACTTTAGCGATTTTGTTCCGCTCCAGCCGGACACTAGCACGTGTTTCTGTGAATCCGATCGGATGGATGCGGGGGATTTATTCGTCCGCAAGACATCACATCAACATGCACAAAACACAAAACAACACCAAGCCAATTCGCGTGCCCTCCAGATGGGGTTTGGTGCACCGGTTCAACTACTTTCAAGGAACGCCGCAGTTTGAAGGATTTGTGCAGCTTCCATGTTGGAGGTGGCCGCAGCTGCTCAACATGTTCCATGTTCTGCCCTTCCGTCCGCTTGTGACCTTTCACTTCTTCGGCAAAGAGAGATCACAGGATCCCCCCGCCCCAGCCCTTTTCTTTCCCTCCAACAAGGCCTCACTTCAGGTTTTTTCTTGGAGGGGAGGCGGGGCGGGGTTGGGGTTGAATCCTGTGAAGCGAGGGGCCGCCAAAGCCAGCGGCCCCACGGCGCACAAAGTGGCGCCGAGCTGCATGGACGGAATCGGCCTTGCAGCGGACGGTGTGAAACCGAATGCGGTGTAACACAAGGGATGAATACTTGCAACTAGTATGCTGGCATGACCATGGCTACATTTGGATGTTAAATGTTATACCCCACAACCCCATTTCTATTGATTTAGTCTCTTTTATTTGCCTGGACTACAAGATGAGCTTACCCAGCCCAGGAGGAAGGCATATGGGTATGAGTTAAAATATAGGGGCCCTCAGGTGGCCATCTAGATGTTTCTGCTAAAGGTGGGGTAAACAAAGGTCCTTTTCAGGTTTCTTGGGCTTCGCTGGCCGCTTGGCCTTTTTTTCCCCCCAGTTACACAACGTTGGAGTCTAAGACCAAGCGAAGCTCATTGTTGATGGATGCTTCGGATGAACCACCCTGGATTGCAGACGTGGCACCAATGCAGAAGCTGAAGCCGATCCCAGTTTGGTGCCTGGGCAAGATGGCCGAAACCCACGAGATGGTGTTGCTTTAAGCTATGACACGCTTGTGCAGCAGTCCGCATGTCCGCATATCGTCTGAAGAGGTTGAAGGGCTGCGCCGTTCTCTTATCCGGGTTTTCTCAGTAGTGCCCGACCTCTCACTCCTTTTTTGGTTGGGAGGGTTCCGCTATTAAAATAGACTACAGAAAAAAGGGTACCCTTATTCTCACCTCTCTACTGGAGGACCTAGTCTTGATTCCCTTTGAGTTAGGACGAGATCACAGTCCGCTGCACGGTTGGCCGGAAGGTTCCAGGAGTGCTTTAATGCAATGACTTGATTGGTGAAAATGATGAGAAAGCACTCTGCAAACAGGACCTGTGGCTTGGTGACGCTTTCCACTACCCACAAGCCACGACCTCGAGGGTAAAAATGGGATATACACAGCCACAGCCAATATATAAGGGATATTTCCCCGTTGCCCCTTGGGGTGTTGGCTCGGGGTGATGGAAGCCATCTCAGAACTCGTGAACATCCCTTCCTGAACCGCCATTTCTGTGCGGACACCCATGGACGCCCCCTTCTGAGGAACTTGATAGTCACGCAAAAACATGTTCCAAGGGTATTTTGGTTTAACCGTTTGGGACTATGAAGCAACCTATGTAGGGCAAACATCAAGCAGCTCTGCCCGAAAGTCTCAGGCCTTCATGCTTCGCAGTGGGCTGGGAAGTGCGAAATGTTGTAGTTCAGGACTCTTGAGTTTATGGACTTTGCTTTCTGGGAATGTCATTTCATTGGAAAGCAACAGGTTCGGACTTTTTTCACCAATCCACTCTCAGGAAGTTCTCGTGTGTAGCAAAGCTGGGTGCTAAACAGCTTTTTCCTGTCACTTTCCCAAGGAAGCCCCAAGGGGCGGGTAGTTCTCTATGTGACTTCCTGAAAAGGGGTGGGCTGCGGGTAACTTCTGCCAAGCTTTGACTCCAAACCCAGTGCTTCCACATTGACATTTTGAGCAGTGATGGCATAGGTGTATATAGGTGTCCTTTTTTAGGTTAGGTTGGTTAGAAATAGATGGCGCTGGTTTAGATTGCTTTGATTCCATTTACCAGGGGCATCCATTTTACAAAAAGGACACCTAAGGCTGTTGGTGTTTGCTTCAACCGGAAATTGCACACTACATTTATCAAATTCCCAAGGAAGCCAAGCAGGGATGGACACTTGTCGATCTTTTCTAGACCCCTTTAGGCCCCGAAAGGAGGGGATTCGTGGTTTCCCTTTTAAGGTCAGCCTAAGTGTTGTCATTGCTTCGTAAACGGCACCCCAAATTTCTTGGGATGCAGATGTGCGCAACTGGTTTGACAGGAGTGCTCTCTCATCCTTGTCTTTACAGGGTGTTGCTGTGCGCAGTCCGCTTGCGGAAACGGACGCCAGCTGGATCGCGCCGCAGCAATACCGTGGTGCAGTTGGAATTCGCAATGTTTTCCGGGCGCAGCCGCGGTGGGCGGCGGTATGCCCTGATTTCTGGACGGGAGGCACATTTCCCCCGGCCCGACTTGTCAGCCATCGAAAAGAGGCAGGTGGCAGCGTCGCTCTGTGCGTGGGGAGGGGCGCAGAAGGCCAGGAAGACAGGCAGCGATGCAGCATGTCCGTGTGACATGTGCAGACTCTGTCATGGCAATGTACAGCAGGCACGGCCGACCCAAACATATGCTAACGTATTGCAGAGTACCAACATGGCACTGTACCCACTTTTTCTACTCAACACTACTTGGCAATCATGCACTTGGCGATAGTTTGAAGTTCGCACTTGTTGTTTTAGACCTCGTGCATTCAGCACCTTTCTGTGATGTTGAACCTCGGCGCTATTTGATCGAGTACATCCGAGTACTAAGCAGTCTGCAAAGTTAATTTGAACCTCCACAGAGGCTCCACGTGCTTTCCAAGTCAGAGCCCTCAAGGCTGCAAGGTCGGCTTCTCGCCGGCGCCCATAAGCCACACAGGTACCGGTGCCCCATCCCAACTCGCAAGGGATTGCTCCTAGAAGAGACTGCGGGTGTGTTTGTCTACAGGGGGAGGCTTCTTGGAACCAACGCAGGCCGTCCTTCTGAAGCATGACAAGGGAACCCTCTTGCGGACTAGCAATGTAACCTCAGTTGTCCAAAGCTGACCTTTTGACATCATTTGCCTCTCTTTGGTTCATAGTTCGTCAAAGTCCCCACCAGTGAAGCCGCTATGTTCGCCTTTCGGTTTTGCCAAGTAGCTGCCCTCCCTTAGCCAGGCAAAGGGGTTGATTGCCCTCTTCAAGTGGGTGGCGGTTTTGGTTGATTTGTTTGTTGGGTTTATGCTGGACTTGTGGACTTGTGGTTGGTTTTACTTGGTGCTCCGAATCCGGAAAGGAGGGTAAGTGCCCGCATAAAGGCTGGCCTATGGTTCAAAATCAAGCCTCGATCCTTATGCCAAATAGTGGTTCTCTGCTTAGTGATTGTTGATAGGTAATGGCATACTGACATGACAATGGCTCAAGAAAAACAAGCTGCTGCCCGTGCTGACTTTTAGGTAGATCCCACCTTTCAACAGGTTATCAGCCGTATCGCTGGTACCTTGTACAGACAGCTCTCACCCGCGCCGCAATGGCGTCAAGCGGCGACGGATGCCACCCTGCCATAGCAAGGATGAACGAAGCAGTGGCCAACGAATTGATCAAGGGTGGGCATCCGGAAGGGAAACCGCCATGCAATCCGTCACAGCGCTCCCGAAGCAGTTTTCCTGAATCCGACCAAGGTGATGCGCTTGTGCCCATCACATCGGTCGTTCTTCCGGAGGATTCGATGGGAAGCGGAGGGGAACCTCTCGCCGGACATCAACCTGGGCAAGAGATGCACGCGCACATGACTAAGAATGAGACTCACCTTCATCAACATCATGTGAGCGCCCCGAACATATATCAACATAGCCAGACGGTAAATGTGGTCAACACAGGTCCGAGTACAGAGGATGTGGCTGCCTATGCTTCGGCACGCCACGACGCCATCATCAATCAGCTCCAAGCCGGCCATGTTGAGGAAAAAGGCCGACTCTATCAGGACGCGGTGAACCACATCAATGTATGCCAACAAGAGGCAATGGCGAAAGAAAGAGAGTTTAACGAGGCAAGACAGCAGTGGGTTGCTCAACGCTCAGAAGCTGAACAGAAGTATGAACGGCTCAAATTGATTTGGGAAGTCACCCACAACAAGCAGAAGGAGGATGCGGACAGGAACGCTGCTGAGATGAGGGAGATTATCATGAAGCAGTCGAGGGACATTGAGGCACTACGTCATGAACTGAAATCTCGCAGTG